TAAAATAATAACTTGTACTAGTCTGTCCATAAAATGGTAATCGTCTTGTGCTGGTTTTGATGGCTTTTTGTTTGATTTCATTATTCTTTTCGTCTGTTGATAAAATCACCAGGTTGTTCTTCATTTGCACCTTCCTTAGCTAAACACATCAAAATAATATTAATAATAAGAAGAAGAATAACATACTACATAGCAAATAGAAAAAAATAATATAATTGAAATTATATAATATTTATAAACAAACACTTTATTGACGTCTACTAATATTAAAAAAAAGGTCTACTAACGTAGTAACATATAAATCTCCCAGTTTACTCTCTAATTATCTTATCAAATATATCGTTAAATATGGCATCATAACCCAGTTGCTAAATTATTGTACTCCCCCCCCCCCTTTCCTTCCCACCCCTACACACAAAAATGTGTTTTATGGGAAAGGCGGGGGGGGGGGGGGGGAGCGTAGGAAGACAGTCAGATCTGACGGTTCTCACGACATTATTTACCGATAAATCTTGGTTCTTTTCTCTTCTTTTTTTTTTTTTTCCACCCTATTTCGACAGCACCAATATTATTCCCCATACACCAATGAGCTGAAAACGACCCTCTCACATATTTAACTTACTAACATACAGTTGTCACTACATGTCCATACAGGTGTCTGTTTACTTACTTTTTTTTTTTAAACCTACGAACATATATTGGCGTCTGCTAATATAAAAAGTGTTTGCTAACTTAGTAACATATGAATCTCCCACTGTACTCTCTACTTGTCTATACACGTGTTTACTAACTTACATATGTACCTACTAACATATAATGGCGTCTACTAATATAAAAATTGTCTACTAACGTAGTAACATATAACTCTCCCAGTGAACTCTCTGCTTGTCGTTAAGCGTGTCTACTACTCACATACGTTCCTACTAACATATAATGGCGTCTACTAATATAAAAATTGTCTACTAACGTAGTAACATATTAACCTCTCAGTTTTGTCTGCACTTGTCTTAACACTTGTCTACTCACTTTCATATGTACCTACTAACATATATTAACGTCTACTAATATAACAATTGTCTACTAACGCAGTGACATATTGCTCTCTCAATTTGTTCTTTACTTGGCTCTACACGTGTCTACTAACTTATATATGTACCTACTAACATATATTAACGTCTACTAATATAACAATTGTCTACTAACGCAGTGACATATTGCTCTCTCAATTTGTTCTTTACTTGGCTCTACGCGTGTCTACTAACTTATATATGTACCTACTAACATATATTGACGTCTAAAATTGTCTACTAACGTAGTAACACGTGGACCTTCCAAATCGATCGCTAAGTCTATCCAGTTTCGTCCTTTTTAGGATGAGTTTTTTTTGTTATTTGAAGCCCCACCCTGGCTTTTGCCAGGGGCCGCAATATAGGCAGGCCATCAATGTGGCCAATTGTCTGAACGCGGTTTCTGGGACCTCTCCACGGTGATCCTCATCCACACGGTGGCACTTTGTGTCATAGGGTGTTTACCGCTTGTGTGATGTCCTGGTGGGGTAGAAAGTCAGTCAGTCAGTCAGTCAGACCTTCCAAATGACACACACACCTATGTATATACATATATGTGTGTGTGTGTGCGCGCGCGCGTGCGTGCGTGCGTAAGTACTAATGTACAGTTAAGTTTACCGACAATGTTGTGATCTACCAACTAGAACATGTTGCTATTAACCAACAACCAGTTGACTTAAACTTCTATAGTTGAGAATTTTGTTTAGAATCGAGTTCTGTTTTTCGACCTGCGAGTTTTGAATGAGAACACAGACGACAGTCCTCTAGGAGGGAACAAGGAATAGACACGACAGTCCTATTGGGGGGAGCAAGGAATAGACCCAACAGTCCTCTAGGAGGGAACAAGGAATAGACCCAACAGTCCTCTAGGAGGGAACAAGGAATAGACCCGACAGTCCTCTAGGAGAAAACAAGGAATAGACCCGATAGTCCTCTAGAAGGGAACAAGGAATAGACCCGACAGCCCTCTAGGAGGGAACAAGGAATATACCCGACAGTCCTCTAGGAGGGAACAAGGAATAGACCCGACAGTCCTCTAGGAGGGAACAAGGAATAGACCCGACAGTCCTCTAGGAGGGAACAAGGAATAGACCCGACAGTCCTTTAGAAGGGAACAAGGAATAGACACGACAGTCCTCTAGGAGGGAACAAGGAATAGACCCGACAGTCCTCCAGGAGGGAACAAGGAATAGACCCGACAGCCCTCTAGGAGGGAACAATGAATAGACACGACAGTCCTCTAGGAGGGAACAAGGAATAGACCCGACAGTCCTCTAGGAGGGAACAAGGAATAGACACGAAGGTCCTCTAGGATGAAACAAGGAATAGACTCGACATTTCTCTAGGAGGGAACAAGGAATAGACCCGATAGCCCTCTAGGAGGGAACAAGGAATAGACACGACAGCCCTCTAGAAGGGAACAAGGAATAGACCCGACAGCCCTCTAGGAGGGAACAAGGAATAGACCCGACAGTCCTCTAGGAGGGAACAAGGAATAGACACGACAGTCCTCTAGGAGGGAACAAGGAATAGACCCGACAGTCCTCTAGGAGGGAACAAGGAATAGACCCGACAGTCCTTTAGGAGGGAACAAGGAATAGACACGACAGTCCTCTTGGAGGGAACAAGGAATAGACCCGACAGCCCTCCAGGAGAGAACAAGGAATAGTCCCGACAGTCCTCTAGGAGGGAACAAGGAATAGACCCGACAGCCCTCTAGGAGGGAACAAGGAATAGACACGACAGTCCTCTAGGAGGGAACAAGGAATAGACCCGACAGTCCTCTAGGAGGGAACAAGGAATAGACACGACAGTCCTCTAGGAGGGAACAAGGAATAGACACGACAGTCCTCTAGGAGGGAACAAGGAATAGACCCGACAGTCCTCTAGGAGGGAACAAGGAATAGACCCGACAGTCCTCTAGGAGGGAACAAGGAATAGACCCGACAGTCCTCTAGGAGGAAACAAGGAATAGACTCGACATTTCTCTAGGAGGGAACAAGGAATAGACCCGACAGCCCTCTAGGAGGGAACAAGAAATAGACCCGACAGTCCTCTAGGAGGGAGCAAGGAATAGACCCGACAGTTCTCTAGGAGGGAACAAGGAATAGACCCATTGCCCCGATCCAACAAGCATGTCGTTTAAAATGACTAATTAGGGTTTGCTGAAATTGGATGTCTTGGACCGAAAGGTGCAGATGTCGCAGCCTAGCTGTAAACGCCAACAAGGTAACCGTACTTTTAACGGTGAATGAAGCAGAAGAAAAACAAGAACAAAAAGAAAATCAAGAACACAAGCAAGAAGCAAAAAAAAAAACAATAAAAAGAAATTGGAAAAAAATGAAGAAGAAGAAGAAAAAGAAGAAGAAGAAGAAAAAGAAGAAGAAGAAGAAGAAGAAGAAGAAGAAGAAGAAGAAGAAGAAGAAGAAGAAGAAGAAGAAGAAGAAGAAGAATAATAAGAAAGAGAAGAGGAGGAAGAAGAAGATGATAATGATGATGAGGATGATGATGATGATGCCACGCGTGATGAATAAAGCTAATGAAAAGAACTACAAGTAGAAAAATTACACTGAAAGCGTTATTCATATATAGCATACACTACTCTGCGGAACTACAAGTACACACATTACTTTCATCGTATATAGCATACACTACTCTGCGGAACTACAAGTACACACATTACTTTCAAAGTGTCATTCGTATACATCACACAGTACGATGCGTATTAACACATTTAGCCATTTTATTGTTTCTATTATTCCCAACTTGAAGTCTGTGGCTTAGTCGTTGCGAACGCGCATCGTAACTTCGAGGTTCTGAGTTCAATCCCAGCTGCCGGCAATTTGGCTGTACACCGCCTTGCGCTGGTTTCGACAGTGATATCGAGGGCCGACAGTGCAATAGCAAACTGGTTGGTTAGTTGCGTATCCTTTACAGGACGTTGTAGAACCAACCCCAACTGCCCCTGGCTGTTGTGTGGTTTTTAAATGCAAATTTACGTCCAATAGTTTGCCATTGCTTACTGGACGGTCGGCTTTCTTGATAACACTGTCGAAACCAACGCAAGGCGCATGGCTCCCAGCTGGGATCGATACCGGCATCCCGGCATTACGAAGCGTTCGCATCGACTTAGCCACAGAGCCGACTTAATAGCAAAGTAGTGAACGTAAAATTGCCTGGTGAAATCACAAACAGCGAGACAATTCAGGGTTGCTTCTGCATCATGTAAAAGACAAAAATAATATTTAAAAAAATACAGAAGGGTGTTGTTTTGGGGACATACTCAGGAGATCAGAGCACTTAAGGCCATGTCTGATGTGCCATGAAGATGATCTAAAAAAAAAAAAAAAATAAACAAACAATCATCATCATCGATTCTCTTTGTGCCTAGTTGCATATGAGGCTTCAGAGAGGACTTTCCATGCTTTCCTGTCCTGTGCAATCTTCAGTGCAGTTTTCCATGTCACTTTCCATCGTTCGTCTCCATGTTGTTTTTGGGCGCCCCTGTTTTCTCTTTCCTTCTGGTGTCCATGTGAGAGCTGTTTGGGCAGGTATATCAGGATTCATTCTCATAACTTAACCAAGCCATTTCCATCTTCTCTTGGTTATCATACTTTTGGTTTGTGACTTAAAGTAGCTTAGTGTTTGAGATAAAAATGAACAATCTTGTTCTTCTCTTTCACCTTGTATCTCATTGAAGTGTTCAGGAAAAAAAAAAAAGGGGGGGGGGGGGGTGTAACATTCGTTTATGAGCTCTGTCAAGATGAACAATGAACATGTGAAACATACGTAGCTAACTTTTATACTTTTTAAAAGTATTATTTCTAAATATTAAAAAAAAAAAAAAAAACCACACCGACAATATCTAACAACACATGGTCCGTTGTTTGGGACAGTAAGACGTAATCTGTTATTTTCAAACACGTCTTTCAGGGATACCTGGCTTTCCCCAGAATGGGGCGCTCTCAGGGAAAGTCAGAGACAGCTGCCGAGTTAGGAAACTGCTGCGGTGTGGGACTGAAAAGCGAACTCATTATTGGGCACGAAGGCAAAGAGGATCTTCGGCCAATCTGCTCCTTCAATGCTGAATGTTGCCAGGGACTCCGGGAGCTGGCAGACCAAAAACCTGATGGCACTTACTACTCCATGTGTGTCCCTGATTTCTCTTTCGGTCTAGAATCGGTGAGTATGCCAGGATGTTCATATCGGGTTTATCTGTCTGTCCGTCCGTCTGTCTGTCTGTCTGTCTGTCTGTCTGTCTGCCTGTCTGTCTGTCTCTTCTTCTCTCTCTCTATCCCTCTGTATCCGTGCCTGTGTGTTGAAATTGTATTGTAAATGAAACATACCGTAGTTCCGTTTATTACTTCCCATAGCGCTTTCACGGTCTTTTTCTTCATTCCGCTGTATCCTATATATTATGCTTCTGCTTCTTCTTTTGTCGTCTCACTGATGCCAGGTTGTAGCCCAGTGTCGTGGTTTTGTGTCTCACTGATACCAGGTTGTAGCCCAGTGTCGTGGTTTTGTCGTCTCACTGATACCAGGTTGTAGCCCAGTGTCGTGGTTTTGTCGTCTCACTGATACCAGGTTGTAGCCCAGTGTCGTGGTTTTGTCGTCTCACTGATACCAGGTTGTAGCCCAGTGTCGTAGTTTTGTCGTCTCACTGATACCAGGCTGTAGCCCAGTGTCGTGGGTTTGTCATCTCACTGATACCAGGCTGTAGCCCAGTGTCATGGTTTTGTCGTCTCACTGATACCAGGTTGTAGCCCAGTGTCGTGGTTTTGTCGTCTCACTGATACCAGGTTGTAGCCCAGTGTCGTGGGTTTGTCGTCTCACTGATACCAGGTTGTAGCCCAGTGTCGTGGGTTTGTCGTCTCACTGATGCCAGGTTGTAGCCCAGTGTCGTGGTTTTGTCATCTCACTGATACTAGGTTGTAGCCCAGTGTCGTGGTTTTGTTGTCTCACTGATGCCAGGTTGTAGCCCAGTGTCGTGGTTTTGTCGTCTCACTGATGCCAGGTTGTAGCCCAGTGTCGTGGTTTTGTCGTCTCACTGATACCAGGTTGTAGCCCAGTGTCGTGGTTTTGTCGTCTCACTGATACCAGGTTGTAGCCCAGTGTCGTGGTTTTGTCGTCTCACTGATACCAGGTTGTAGCCCAGTGTCGTAGTTTTGTCGTCTCACTGATACCAGGCTGTAGCCCAGTGTCGTGGGTTTGTCATCTCACTGATACCAGGCTGTAGCCCAGTGTCATGGTTTTGTCGTCTCACTGATACCAGGTTGTAGCCCAGTGTCGTGGTTTTGTCGTCTCACTGATACCAGGTTGTAGCCCAGTGTCGTGGGTTTGTCGTCTCACTGATACCAGGTTGTAGCCCAGTGTCGTGGGTTTGTCGTCTCACTGATGCCAGGTTGTAGCCCAGTGTCGTGGTTTTGTCATCTCACTGATACTAGGTTGTAGCCCAGTGTCGTGGTTTTGTTGTCTCACTGATGCCAGGTTGTAGCCCAGTGTCGTGGTTTTGTCGTCTCACTGATGCCAGGTTGTAGCCCAGTGTCGTGGTTTTGTCATCTCACTAATACCAGTTTGTAGCCCAGTGCCGTGGTTTTGTTGTCTCACTGATGCCAGGTTATAGTCCAGTGTCGTGGGTTTGTCGTCTCACTGATGCCAGGTTGTAGCCCAGTGTCGTGGTTTGGTCGTCTCACTGATACCAGTTTGTAGCCCAGTGTCGTGGTTTTGTCGTCTCACTGATACCAGTTTGTAGCTCGGTGTCGTGGTTTTGTCGTCTCACTGATGCCAGTTTGTAGCCCAGTGTCATGGTTCTGTCATCTCACTGATACCAGGTCGTAGCTCAGTGTCATGGTTCTGTCATCTCACTGATACCAGGTTGTAGCCCAGTGTCGTGGTTTTGTCGTCTCACTGATACCAGGTCGTAGCCCAGTGTCGTGGTTTTGTCGTCTCACTGGTACCAGGTTGTAACCCAGTGTCGTGGTTTTGTCATCTCACTGATACCAGGTCGTAGCCCAGTGTCGTGGTTTTGTCGTCTCACTGATACCTGGCTGTAGCCCAGTGTCGTGGTTTTGTCGTCACACTGATACCAGGTTGTAGCCCAGTGTCGTGGTTTTGTCGTCTCACTGATACCAGGTTGTAGCCCAGTGTTGTGGTTGTCTTGCACTATTCAGGTGACTAAGGTGATGTGTGTTAATTATTATTATTTTTTTCCTGAAGGTTTCAGCGACACCATTTATCCATCTCTTTCTCGGTCTTCCCCTCGCCTTCCTCCCAAATGTTCTACTGAAAAAGAAAAAAAAAAAGAAAAAAAAAAAAAAAGAAAACACATGCTGCAGTTTGGTCTGGCCGCATTCTGACTAGAAGACCGAACCATTCCATTCTATGTCTGACAAAATAATTCAGACATGGTATTATTCCAACTCTTTGTCTTATGCTGGTATTCGTAACCTTGCTCCTTCTTGTGTCATTAGTGACTTTGCAGAGACAACGCTTTTCACGGGCTGTTATTTTCTGTTCTAGCACCCTGTTCATTGTCTTTCCTTAACTCTTTCAGTCCCAGGGGGTTTAGCATCACAGGCCCAGGGGGTAGTAAAGAGATTCATAAAATCTGCGCATCATGCGTTCATTGGGACTCAAAGAGTTAACAGTTCTTGAAAATTCGTGTCTGATTTCCACCAAAGCACCTCTGACCCCTTTTTTTAAATATCTGTCGCAGTGTTTTGTTTAAAAGAGTTCAACATCTCTATATATTTATTTCCCATCTCATTATCTGTTTTGTGTTTCTTTGTCCGTTACAAACAGCTGAATATGTTTATTTTTCTCTTTACAGAACGGCCCTTCATCTGAAGTGATAAAGAAACTCAAAACACTGATAAGGAAATAATTCCGGCACAATATATGTGTTTCTGAATCTATAGTCACCAGTTATGACACAACAAATAAACTTACCCACACATATTTCGTATTTTTTCGTTAAGTGGAGTCACCGGAAGGGGAAATTCAAGTTAGTCTAAAAACTGAATATTTTTGAAAACACCATCAGATTTGTAAAAATTTTAGCTGCATAAAATGTTTCAGTAGAGTTGCAATAAAACAATCTTATAAAATAAAGAAATTGTTGTACTTTGCGAGTGAGTGTGTGTGCGTGTGTGTGTGTGTGTGTGTGTGTGTGTGTGTGTGTGTGTGTGTGTGTGGCGATGTTGTGTCATCATCATCTGCAGCAGCATTATCACCGCCATCATCATCATTAATCCTGTTTTGCTGTTATACGGCCCATATGGTTCGTATTTTTAGTCCCCAATTCAGATTTATCCTGTACAATCCTTATAAAAATCATGGACAGAATCCAATCCGGCAGCTTTGGACTCTCTCTCTCTCTCTCTCTCTCTCTCTCTCTCTCTCTCTCTCTCTCTCTCTCTCTCTCTGTCTCACAGCCACGTTGGGGTGCAAGGAACGCTTCAGAGATCCCGGGTAGTTAGCGCCTTTTGGATGTTTTCTCTGGAGTGATGCCGGAGACATTGGGAAACGAACAGGCAAATAAACTGGCCGGTTCTGCACCACTTGGTGGTGAATCGATGCATGACATGCTAGGTGCGTAAGGTTCATTTGGAAGCGATTGGACAGTGTGGAGACACAAACAGATCATCCCGGTCTGAAGAGAATAACACTGAGAGGAGTTACCAGGGGATCTGACCGACGTTCATCACTTAGGAAAAAGGCGAGAGGGATGTACAATCAGACAGTTACTGGTACCAGGGGAAGTAAATTCTGCTGCTGCTGTTGAAGATGAGGATGGAGCACTTATGGGAATGACCGGAGTGCGGTGATGTCAATTTTTAATTCAAACTTCAACGTTCAGCAACGCCAGGGTGGGGTTGTATCATAAATTATTATTATGAGAAAAAGCTATCACCATAAAAAAAAAAAAAAAAAAAATGGTCAACCTAAAATCTTCTTCCACTTCTAATTCTTCTTCTTCTTTGTGTTTACTTCGCCGCAGAGACCACATTCCCCCCCCCCTTGCCCCCACCCAATGGAAACAAAGGAAAATCGCAAACATTGTTACCAAGAAATTTGCCCCAACCACATACAAAACCACATAAAACAAAGTCTCGAGTAAAAAAAAAAAAAAACTTGAGGATATCTGCTATTTTTTGGTCGGATGTTGGACAAGGCACAACGGATATCACTTTCCGTCTCAAGCTGGACACACTGTTTTATTTTACATGACTGTTGAAGCGGAAAATCTGAATTTTTATGGGGACAGATGCACATTTGCAGCGTGGCTTTACGCCTCCATTTGGGACTACCTGAGCCACCCCACCCCCTTACCGGCCCCCTCCCCAGTTGGAGACCACTGCCTTGATGAATTATATGTTCCACTGCAATAAGAAGCTTGGTTAATTATGTGTGTGGTTTTAGTGTCGATGAAGAAGAAATGGTGAGGAGACGAGGAGGGTAAGGGGGGGGGGAGGATGAGGAGGGCGACGAAAGAGGAGGAGGAGGAAGAGCAGCAGCAGCAGAAGAAGAAGAAGAAGAAGAAGAAGAAGAAGAAGAAGAAGAAGAAGAAGAAGAAGAAGAAGAAGAAGAAGAAGAAGAAGAAGAAGAAGAAGAAGAAGAAGAAGAAGAAGAAGAAGCTGTTGAAGGAGGTGTTAAAGAAGAAAAAGAGTAGAAGGAGAAGATGAGGAAGAGCAGGAGGAGGAGAAGAATAATAAGAAGAATAATAATAATAAGAAGAAGGTTCTTGATTATTGCCGTGTCAAGCCCTGGCATACGCTCGCGGCACCCAATTTGAGAACCGGTGCTGTAAGAGTCCTACCGGAAATGACCCTTGGCGGTGCCCCCTGACCTATGTGTAGCAGAAATGGCCGAAATTTGAGATGAGAATCCATGATCGGGGATTGACAAGATTTTGGTAGAAGAAGTAAGTACAATTTAACATCTTCTTGTGTCCATACAACCTTTTTTGCTAATCCCGTAACATGTCTACTAAAGAAGTTGAAATTCTTTTGAGCATTAAGATATTCTTTCAAACCAAGTGCAGTTCCATTGCTCAGCTGTTAACTGTTTTTGTTTTGTTTTGTCGGCACTCTTCCGAATACCGGTCCCAAATTATTTACTGTTTAAAAAATCCCATTTAGGGCCTCAATAGGTCATATAGTTTAAAATATGGAAAAAATCCCATTTAGGGCCTCAATAGGTCATATAGTTTAAAATATGGAAAAAATCCCATTTAGGGCCTAAATAGGTCATATAGTTTAAAATATGGAACAGGAACGCAACGAACTATGCTTCGCGTTATTATATAATTTCATGGGAACCCAACTCTCAAGTCTTCGGTAGTATAGTTGTACGTGGGTGATCGGTGTTCGATTCCCCGCAGGGTGATAATTTTATTTTTAGCCCTTAAAAGGACAGTTGGGATGTTTTGTTGTGGTTTACAGATAGGCTGTGATATCTGCTCCTTTTGCACTAACACAACCGATTTCAGCAGTCTTAATTAGGCGCCTTTTACAACATACTTTTGAGGTGGCAGTGGATCTATTCTTTTTTCCCCTCAAACATGTGGCCCTGGAACCCACAAGGGGAGTCACGAGTAATGAAAACAATGGATCAAAAACTATTCTATTCCTCCACACGCCGCTTTAATGGATCGAAAACTAATCCTCCCCACTTCACTTAAACATTGAATCAAAACAGTTTCCTCCAAACGCCGCGTCAATGGATTTAAAACAACCACCCCCCCCCCCCCCCCATCTCCCCGGCGCTTAGCCTAACGTCTTAACATTGTTATCTATCCAGGAATAACGGCAGAAGTGGAAACTGACGATGATGGCCTAAATGCTTTTACTACATAACCTATTGAGTCTATCCAGCAATAACGGCAGAAGTGGAAACTGGCGATGATGGCCTAATTGCTTTTACTACATAACCTATTGAGGTTCTCAAAGGGAAGTTTTTGGCAGTGAATAATTTGGGACCGGTATTCGGAAGAGTGCCGAAACATGTCTTCATTTTCAAAATATTTATCATCAGTTAGCGAGTCCTCTTCAGAATGTCACTCTTATTACGGAACAAACCTGAAAGTCTCTCTTTCTCTAGTGGGTTCTTCAACTGTATGATGACTATAATCTTTCTTAACGAATGCATCTTCAATGTCATGAATATGATGAATCCATCTTTGTGAAGATCGACCTCTGTCTGCCTTGTTTTATTAAAACCGTACCATCCTTCGCCTGTCTCTTCGAGCCACCGTGACGTTTAACATTGCAAAAATACCTTAGCTTTCGGGAAGTGATGTTGTTTATGAGCAATTTAAAATAGGGTAAAACTAATGTTGGTTTCCCCCACGTCCCGCCCATATACACACTAGCTCACTTCTGATTGGTAGACCTTGAGCCAGGAGACTTTGGCACAAAGTTACAGGGATTTTCTACACTGCCATTGATATCGCTTGTTGTATATTCAGCATGCCAGTGCTTTTAACATTCCAAAAACATGGAGAAACTGGGTCTAACCCCCCCCCCCCCCCCCCCCCCCCCCCCCCCCCCCCCCCCAGAGTGCTGCATCCTGTGTCACAGGCATTCTCTTTCTTGGAATAAAAACGTCAATGCAAGACAACCCAGAGAGCAAACAAGAGAGCGGCACACCTGTAATCTACAGGAAAGTAGACCAGCCCAACAAACAAACTCATGAATGAAATGTGACCTACTTTGTTTGGGGAGACTAACTTAAACCTAACCTAAAATAGTAATTAGCACATTTACAATTTTGCAGAAAAATTCAACTGAAAAGAAACAAGACAATGATATGTTTATATCTGAAAACTAGTTTTAACCTGAGAAAAGGAGACAGTCATGTTTCTTCAAATCCTTTAGCAAAGTTTTGGGAGTCAAATGGATCTTCTAGTAAATTCCCTCCCCGCTCAGCACACCAGCCTAGTGCTTGGTGTAGTTGGTATGACTAACACCACATGACATCTTCACCACATGACAACTTCACTACATGACATCTTTGCCACATGACATCTTCACCACATGACATCTTCACTACATGACATCTTCACCACATGACATCTTCACTACATGACATCTTCACTACATGACATCTTCACCACATGACATCTTCACCGCATGTCATCTTCACTACATGACATCTTCACTACATGACATCTTCACTACATGACATCTTCACTACATGATATCTTCACTACATGATATCTTCACCACATGACATCTTCACCACATGACATCTTCACCACATGACATCTTCACCACATGACATCTTCACCACATGACATCTTCACTACATGACATCTTCACTACATGACATCTTCACTACATGACATCTTCACCACATGACATCTTCACCACATGACATCTTCACCACATGACATCTTCACCACATGACATCTTCACTACATGACATCTTCACTACATGACATCTTCACTACATGACATCTTCACTACATGACATCTTCACTACATGACATCTTCACTACATGATATCTTCACTACATGACATCTTCACCACATGACATGATGTCTTCGCCACATGACATCTTTACCACATGACATCTTTACCACATGACATCTTCACCACATGACATCTTCACCACATGATATCTTCACTACATGACATCTTCACTACATGACATCTTCACTACATGACATCTTCACTACATGACATCTTCACCACATGACATCTTCACCACATGACATCTTCACTACATGACATCTTCACTACATGACATCTTCACTACATGACATTTTCACTACATGACATCTTCACTACATGACATCTTCACTACATGACATTTTCACTACATGACATCTTCACTACATGACATCTTCACTACATGACATCTTCACTACATGACATCTTCACTACATGACATCTTCACTACATGATATCTTCACTACATGACATCTTCACTACATGACATCTTCACTACATGACATCTTCACCACATGACATCTTCACCACATGTCATCTTCACCACATGTCATCTTCACCACATGTCATCTTCACCACATGTCATCTTCACCACATGTCATCTTCACCACATGTCATCTTCACCACATGACATCTTCACCACATGACATCTTCACCACATGACATCTTCACCACATGACATCTTCACCACATGACATCTTCACCACATGACATCTTCACCACATGTCATCTTCACCGCATGACATCTTCACCGCATGACATCTTCACCGCATGACATCTTCACCGCATGACATCTTCACCGCATGTCATCTTCACTACATGTCATCTTCACCACATGACATCTTCACCACATGACATCTTCACCACATGACATCTTCACCACATGACATCTTCACTACATGACATCTTCACCGCATGACATCTTCACCGCATGACATCTTCACCGCATGACATCTTCACCGCATGACATCTTCACAGCATGTCATCTTCACCACATGTCATCTTCACCACATGTCATCTTCACTACATGACATCTTCACCACATGACATGATGTCTTCACCACATGTCATCTTCACCACATGACATCTTCACCACATGACATGATGTCTTCACCACATGACATGATGTCTTCACTACATGTCATCTTCACCACATGACATCTTCACCACATGACATCTTCACCACATGACATGACATCTTCACCACATGACATCTTCACCACATGACATCTTCACCACATGACATCTTCACCACATGTCATCTTCACCACATGTCATCTTCACCACATGACATCTTCACCACATGACATCTTCACCACATGTCATCTTCACCACATGTCATCTTCACCACATGACATGACATCTTGACTACATGACATCTTCACCACATGACATCTTCACCACATGACATCTTGCGTATTCAAGCCTGGTTGCAAATTATCACATCAAATCTTGGAAGAATTAAAACTTTTGCCAGAAAAAGCCGGTTTTCCTACCCTTAGGGGTTTTTGATTACATGACATCTTTGCTGTCTGAGGCAGTTTTGACAAAACCTCTGATTTCTTGGTCAAAGGGGAGTGAAAGAAGTTATTTCTTTGCTCCTTTTTGTGTGGTGATTGTGGGTTTGCTTTGACCGTATAGCTAGCAGGCCATGTACGCTTGTGGACTGGTACCTGAGGCTACAGATGAGATCCTCCAAGATTGCCCCAAATACAGCCTATCAAGGACACACTTCTGGCCAAGACAAACATCGGTGCAAGCCAAACTTTACACGTGGATTAATTACAAAAGACAGTGAAGTTCATACTAGAGACAACACTGCAAATATAGATAATCTATTTCAAGCAAATGAATGAAGAACGAACGAACGAACAAACTTTATTTTCAAGGGTTACAAATTAGGCACGCAGGCCCGACTTACATTCGGCCCTTTCAGTCAACCATCTTTCGCACAGCAGTTGTATTTTACTAATAAAGCTTGTTATGGTCATATGATGTTATGCATATTATGAATATTATAAAAGAACACAAAAGCATGAGTTGTAAAGTGCATGCAAAAACTGAAGAAGAAGAAGAAAAAGCAGCCACAGAACTAACCACAGTAAAACATTCCTGCCGAGATTAAACATTTGTGCCTGTTAACGAATGTCCTTCTTAAGCAAGTTTGTATTACCGAGGTTTTATTATAAAAGTGACTGCAGTAACTTCATCTCTTTTAGTTACTCTTCTTCTCTTCTTCTTTGCTTTCAGTTTCATATACTCAGATCCGACCATCAGGTGGGTTGCTTCTGTGAACTTGCATGTCAGCAGCAGGTCCTTCATGGTTCCCCATAGCTTGCTCTGCACACTTTGCTCTTGAGGCCAGGTGTCTTTTCAAACTTATAGGTAGAGTGGGCAGGTCTGCAGAATTAGCTCAGGTGTTTGTGGTCTGTTTGACAGGCACAATGAATGGGTGTGTTGTTTCAACTTTGTTCCATTTTGTGCAAGTCTGTCTGCTAACTCATTTTTTGGTATGCCTCTGTGAGCTGGGATCCACTGGAGAATGATTTGTTTTCTGAGATTTTGTTTAGCTGGCAGGTCAGTTCTCTCTCCATGTTGTCTCGTGGATCCCTCTGAGTCGCCTGGAGGACTGACATGCAGTCACAAAGGAAAACAATTTTGCTGTTTTTATGTTTTCTTTCCTCAAGCACCTAGGCTAAATCAATTAATTTTTTTTTTAATCGATCACCGGCTGTGAATTCCAGTGGAAGGTCCCGGTTAATCGTCCGCTTGGACTTTTGGCTTTCACCTGGACCTGATTTTTGCGTGTACAACCGTTTTTCATTTCCCTGCCTCATGGGCAGCTGTACTCCGACTTCGAAGGAAGCTAAATCAATAACTGCTTGCTGTTCTGCCTTGAGGTTTGTTGAAAGTCTTCCGGAGGCGCATAAAGTTTCTACTCAAGGAACGAACGAACGAACTTTATTTTCAAAGAGTTACAAATTGGGCACGCAGGCCCGTCTGACATTAGGCCCTTCTGACATTAGGCCCTTCTAAGCACTCATTTTTCAGTACCAATGCCTGTTATCAATAATGCATGTTATAGATATAATAAAGAAATATAAATTATAGAATAATGCATACACACATCATATGTACACACTCACACACACGTATACATACTCCTACGTTCTCATACATGCAAACTCATATACAGACATACATAATACATACATACATGCATCTACATACATACACAAACATAAAACACATACACATACATAGACATAAATGCACAGAAAACACACACACATACATTTATGGATATACATGCACACACATATTCCATACATGCACACACATATTCCATACATACACACCTATACATGCATCCATGCATACACACATATACAATCACATGCACAGACACCAACATATGCCCACAACCACACATGTACACTCACATGAATACATACACTCACAAACATGCATACATACATACACACACACACATACATGCATACATACACATTTATACAGGAGGCAGGACGAGAAGATGATTCAGGAGACAACATTGAATCAGCAACACTCACAAGACTACAAGAACTTCACATCAAAAGAGGTGTCACCAAACATGAGCACTATACAGGTAGTCAAAGAAGAATAGTAAACCAACACAGAACTGGCGCTATCTGTCGCCACACGCTGGGGGAGATACTGAAGATGGCATCCGAGCGCTTATGGACTTGTCAGACGAGCAATGCGGATAATCTGTCGATTAACTAACTTAGACCATTTGTACTTATAGTACAAAAAATAAACAAAATTAGTAAATAAAGATATTTACATTGGCAAGATGAACAACTTCCCAGTACTAATTTAGTGTAGGACATGTTATGTATTTTTACATTATGTACAATAATTATACTTACATGCACTGAATTTTTGTGTTTTATGTAGAGTTTTTATGACCTGTTTGAGTAAAACTTGTGTTGAAAATATAAATTGGATTTACGACCAGTTCAACCTACGACCTGCTAGTTGAAAAAGAACTCAGTCGTAAGTCGAGGATACCCTGTATATACCCAGACAATATAAGAGTTTGTGTTCAAAAGTGTCTGAAGCAGAAAATAAAAGGCAATGTACACAGAAAGAGAGCAGTGATGAAGACAAAAAGAAAGATGTTTTTCTAACTGAAATTTTCTACAGTTCTAACTCATGGAACCCCAAGAGTCAGGAACTCTCGACAGTATATTGTGCACAGAAATGACAGAAGCAGTTCGCCCCTGCAAAGTCTGGAACTTCGATCGCAGCGTGAAAAAATCTGTAACGGCTTCTACTTTACAAGAGTTAATTGAGAAAGGTAAGGAGTTTGCTAGGTAGCTCCCGTGGCTAACATGTTTGTCTGACAGATATTGGTTTGAATCCCCATTCAAAAAATGTGTGTGAGAGTTCCCATGTAATGTAAGCTAGATTGGGTACAAGTTTATTTTATGGGAAGTAAAGGTGTCCTTTTTCAGATGAGAAGTAAGGTGTCCAAAACCCACCCACACTGGTCTTCAGGTTGCTTTGTAACCATTTTGAGGTGCCCTGATTTAACTGTGCTATATACGGTTGAACAGTGTTTTCTAGATTTGTACCTGTCTAATTCTCGTCCTTGAGATGTAAATCATACAGACTGTAGTCTTGGAGGGGAAAAAATGTCTCCTTCTCTATGGGATACACTTGTCCTGAAGCTCTTTTCTGACAGATTTGTAATAAAGCTTTATCTCTTTTAGTTGCTCCAGATTAGTGTTTCTCTCTTCTGCCGTTTAATTCCTTGCGCAGGCACCAGTTAATTAATGTTGTTTATTTGTTTATGGTTTATTAGCATTATTAAAAATGTTCAAAATCAGTCTTATGACAAATCTTTGGATCCATCAAAGATGCAAACAGTGGGGAATGGAGAGTGAGAAGCAACAACAAAATTCGTAATCTGTTTAAATCACCACTAATCGCTGGCATCATGAGAGCTAATAGACTGAAATGGTTAGGGCATATTAAAAGAATGTCAGATGACAGAGAAGTAAAAACTGTATACACAAGGGAGATAAATGGTCGTAGACCACGAGGCAGACCAAGAATAACATGGAGAGATAATATCCAGACAGACATACAAACACTTGGTGTCACCAAGTGGAAAGACAAGGCCAACCAGAGAGATGAGTGGAAGCGAGTGGTACCTGCAGCAATGACCCTCAAGATCTCGGAATGCTGAAGAAGGCCAACCAGAGAGATGAATGAAGGCGAGTGATATCTGCAGCAATGACCCTCAAGGGCTTGGAATGCTGAAGAAGGCCTACCAGAGAGATGAATGAAGGCGAGTGATATCTGCAGCAATGACCTTCAAGGGCTCGGAATGCTGAAGAAGGCCTACCAGAGAGATGAATGAAGGCGAGTGATATCTGCAGCAATGACCCTCAAGGGCTCGAAATGCTGAAGAAGGCCTACCAGAGAGATGAATGAAGGCGAGTGATATCTGCAGCAATGAACCTCAAGGGCTCGGAATGCTGAAGCAAAAGAAGTTTATTAGCAGTTGTTTTAGTTCTCTATGTTTCAGCTCCACACAGCAGTACTGAGTCTGTTTTTTTCAATAGGATGCTCCAAGTTGGCTTTGAACCCAACCTCACGGCTACGGGTGGTTCTAGAAGAAGATGGGACAGAGGTCGATGAAGAGGAATATTTTTCTTTACTTCCCATGAACACTACCTTCTTGTTTCTTCAAAATAATGAACAGTGGCAGCCAGGAGGAGGAGGAGGTGAGTGGTGTTTGAGTGATTAAATCGTGATTAAACTAATAAAATCTTCATCATCAAGTTCCTTGTCGACTGGCAGGGGTGATCATGTCTCTTCGTGGTCAGCAGGGTGTATCAGTTGATGTGTTGACCCCGCTCCGTATCATGACAAACTGCTCCCAAGAATCTTCTTGCATTGTCTTCCTCCATCTGTCTTTCCACAAATATTTCCAGAAGAATGCTGAATTAAGAGTCAGCATCACAGCACTTGGGGCACTCCCATAAGTGCTCAGTCCCCATCTTCAGCAGCAGGCGAAGAGTTCCAATTCTGATGGTACCAGTAACTGTCTTATTGAATATCCGTCTTATCCTTCCCGTGAGTGTTTAGTGTCGGCCAGATTCTCCGGTAACTCCTCGCAGCGCCATTCTCCTGAGACCGTAATGATCAGTCTGCGCCTCCGCACTGTTCACTTGCTCCCAAACGGCCCTCACAACATCCAGCTTGTCATACATCATTTCACCACCGAGTGGTGCAGAGAAGGCCAGTCTATCTGCCTGCTCATTTCCCAACACCCCGGCATGACCTGGCGAAAATATCCAAAGATGCTAACTACCCGGGATTTGTTCACTCGCTCCCAAAGGGCCCTCACAAATCTTTTCAGTGGTCACAGCATGTTCCAGTTTCCCTTTTCTCATATCATCCCCCCACTTCCCCAAATCTCCTTCTGTTGTTTGTGATACATTGTCTTTACGTCCTCACCTCTTTCAAAATATTTGGATTACTCACTTTGGCTGTCCAAGGAATTCTAAGTATTCTTCTGTAAAACCACATCTCTGGAGAACTTATTAACATCAGAAGAGGTAAAGATGAATATCTTTTTATAAGAATACACAAGCTAACCCCAGGATCTATTCTCTCATGTGTAGTTTTACTAGTAGTTTGCCATTGCTTTCTAAATTTTCAAAGCCACTTTTCCTGGTTGTAAATTTGAACTTTTCTGTCATATTTTGTTGTATCTCGGCACGTGCCTGTACAAAAGCAATTTAGTATAATGAAGCAAATAAATTAATCTTTGAAACTGTGATACGGAATCTCAACGTGGGCAGGTCTTGCTAGCCACACTCATCATCCCCATGGGATTTGAGTCCCATGCCTCCTCATAGCACAGTGTAACAGACTGGCAAAACAAGGGTTTGAGAAATCAAGTATGTTGGGCTGAAAACTGGAAATATCACAGCTCAGCTGTAAATCACAACATAATGAACCAGCCACCCTTTTAGCTACGTCGCAATGAGATGACTAAATCTAGTCACCTCTGGTTGTCACACAGTCCCGTCAGTGCCAGTATATCGCCATATCTGCTGTGACTTGTTCTCGTTAAATTGCATTGGTTATGTATGTGTCTTTGCAGTAATTAATAGACCAGTTTGTAAATATTGTATGTAAAAATAGCAGTAGGGAGATTTTCTTAAAAGCCCAGTGGCTTTTTTAAAGCATTAGGGAGATTTTCTTATGAGCCCAGTGGCTTTTTTAAAGCATTAGGGAGATTTTCTTAAAAGCCCAGTGGCTTTTTTAAAGCATTAGGGAGATTTTCTTATGAGCCCAGTGGCTTTTTTAAAGCATTAGGGAGATTTTCTTAAAAGCCCAGTGGCTTTTTTAAAGCATTAGGGAGATTTTCTTAAAAGCCCAGTGGCTTTTTTAAAGCATTAGGGAGATTTTCTTATGAGCCCAGTGGCTTTTTTAAAGCATTAGGGAGATTTTCTTATGAGCCCTGTGGCTTTTTTAAAGCATTAGGGAGATTTTCTTATGAGCCCAGTGGCTTTTTTAAAGCATTAGGGAGATTTTCTTAAAAGTCCAGTGGCTTTTTTAAAGCATTAGGGAGATTTTCTTAAAAGCCCAGTGGCTTTTTAAGAGCATTAGGGAGATTTTCTTAAAAGCCCAGTGGCTTTTTTAAAGCATTAGGGAGATTTTCTTATGGGTCCAGTGGCTTTTTAAGAGCTGAGTTGAGGTCAGATTTTGCCGTAGGCTTCAGTGATAGAGGTAACAGGGTCACAGCACAAGTGCCTCGATACATGTCAGGTTTTTTTTAAGGCCCTGGGAAATGTATTCAGGTTAATGCTTTACCCTGTTTTGTGTTTATTGATTACTACATTTATACAAGTAAAGTAAAGTAAAAGAACCCTTTTTCATGCCTTCAGGCATATAGGGCTAGACGTGTAGACCAGTAGGCACTCGACTACTTGTATATGTCTTTAAATACTTAATGGTGAGAAAAATGTAGATAAATACATTTGGAAAAATTTATTACTGACCTTCTGTAAAATGCATATCATATTTGTTAGCGTTCACTGGGCTAAAAGATTGATGGACAACAAAGAAGTAAAAGGTGCTGGTGAAAGTAAAAAGTAAAGTTCCCTTTTCCACCTATTGGGCATATAGGGCTAGACCTATATTTTTGTAGACCACTCGGCACTTGGTGGATGATGTGGTCAGCATCACGCCGGACGCCTTTACTTCCCCGGGACTGCACCGGGTACCCACTCAAGGCTGAGTCGACATGGGAGTCACGGTCATTTTAAAAAAAAGGATGGCTCCGTCTGGACGCGAACCCATCACCTTCCAAACCGCAGGCGGTCGTCTAGTCGCCAGCGCCACAGCAACTTCCAAAAGGTGTAGGTGGTGATGATAATATACATGCAAGTTGTCTGTGTAGTTTTAACTCTTTCATTCCCGGGGGAACGCATCATACGTTCGTAAATTCTTACCTTGAAGCCCAATGAATTCAAGATGCCTGTCTTTACTACCACTTGGGACTGGGTTTAGCCTTAGAGGACGGATCAACATCACGGCACAAGGGTAGTAACCTAGAAGTGCTCTGTTCTACTTCTGACTCAAGCCTGAGTCCGAAGAATCTCAGCTCAGTGCATGAACTCCGTAGCACTGGCAAGATTCCTGAAATGCTTTGGGTAGATTTTTAACTCAAAATTTGCGCCGTTAGGCTACTCTTTTTCGATTTCCAACTGCCAAGGGATTTTTTTAAAGTGCACAGCCATACACACGGGCGTCCGATCTTACTACCCAGAGACAAGGAGAAATTACTAGAGGTCCACGTGAAAAAATCCCAGCCTTCAACAGGGCTTGAACCCGGGACCTCCAGCATTTGGGCGAATGCCGTGCCTCGAGACCACACAGCCCCCAAATCACGAGTCCCTGGTGGTAAACTCCCTGGGAAAGACAAAAATTAATTAAAATCAATTTTTTCCGATTGTCCCGTTAGACTCCAGAGATGAGCCTGATACTTCAGTTACTACTGGTCTAGAGAAGGATGATCTCACAAGTTTGATTGCTAGTCTGAAGTGTGACCTTGCAAACATCATGACCTTCTCTTTGGAACAACTTCAGGTATTCATTCATTTGTAATCATATTGTGTTAGTTTATGTCACACAGGGCTCACACTCTATCCTCCACTCTGTTCTATCCTGTGCGATCAGTTCAATATCATGGATGGAATCCGGTCCAGCAGCTTTGGCCTCTCTCATCAACATTCGTCTTAGAGTTTCTTTTGGACGTCCTAACCTCCTTAATCCCTATATTTCCCATTTTAATACCCGTTTGATTCTCGGCTGGGTAATTTTCAGGATGTGTCTAATGTGGTTCCATCTTCTCTGTCTTATAACTGTTGATACTAGTGGTTGCCCAGACATGTCTCATAATTCTTCACTCTTAATAAATTCATCCCATTTTATTTTCATTATTTTTCTCACACATTTGTTTTTTTAATGCATTTAACTTTTGTTGCATATCCGTGGTAGTTCTCCAACTTTTCGCTGACATATGTTAGAATTGAAGATTCATGGTTTTGTCTTAGAGCTGTATAACTTGGAGCTCCATACTTTGATAAGGCTTTCTAAGAATGTTGTTGCTTTGCCAATATGTATCGTAAATTCCTTTGTTGTATCTCCTTGAGAGTCAAAATTGCTATCCATTATCTCGGTCATTGCCGGTCCCAAGCCCGAATAAAAAAGGTGGAGGGCTTGTGCATGAGGCCAGCAACTTCACCACAAAATTTTGTTTTTAGCTACAGAAACTCTCATATCTGGGAAGCATTTTTTTCAGAAGATGGAAGAATGAATAAAGAAATCCAACAAAGATGCAATAAAGCCAATCAAGTTTTAGGCCAATTGGCACCAAGTTTGAAATGCAAGCATGTGAATAGGAACGTTTAACATAATATTCTTACCAACGCTCTGCTATCAATGTCAAACATGGACACTGTCTTCAGAAGACAGAAGGAAAATAGTCACGACAGAAATGCTAGATGTAACGAGGAAAGATCGACTAATGAATGATGATATCAGGAGGAGAATCAGTACACAACCAGTACTCAACTTTATAGGTGGACAACAAATCAAATGGTTTGGCCATGTAACAAGATTGGCAACAGACAGGGCCCCACAGAGAGCAATGTTAAACAGATACAACGGTGACAGAGCCAGAGGTCGACCACGCAGAAGATAAACAGCGGAAATATCAGAGTCACTGACTTTATATGAAGCAAACAGAAGGGCACATTCTAGAGATCTCTTCTTCCTCTGGTGCCGTGAGGCATTCCAGGAGTAGAGAAAAGAAAGAAACCTGCAGAAAAAGTACGATCAATAGAACAACCAAGCAGTGTGTGGTTTACTGGGTATCTGTAATGGTAGCTTTAGGTGTGGAATACAGAAGATTGGTTAGGTAGAGCTTTTGCAGAGAAGACTCAGTCTAAAAAAATTGATCTTTCTAAACTTTTGTTTCAACAAAACACATCAATATAGTGCTCTGAAACTCCACCCTAGGAAGCTAGGTAAAGAAGAAATATTTTTAAGTCTTTGTCAATTGTTATAAAGCCCAGGTGGTGGAATCTATTACCACCGAGCAGATAGGCAAGCGTGCTAGCTACTGCATCATTGTGGCTTTCAAGTCACTGAAAAGGTGGATTTTTCACATTTAGAGTCCCTGTCACTATTTTGCGCAAAAGGTAATTTTTTTATATGAAGGGAAGTAATCACTAAATACAAATGAAGCAAAGGAATAACTGTCTTCCTTCCCTTTAATGAAGAGAATAGAGGTTTTGTTGATACAGCCAAATAGAGCAAAGTAATGTCGTCATAGCTTTATTCTGATGTCACAGTAAAAGAATAACATTGTTAGTACCTCAAATAATGTCTCCAAAAAAAAAAAAAAAGGGCAATGTGATCACACACACCATGTCTGTACACTGTACAACTGCAGCCACTACCACAGCTGTTATATAGGCATGATGGCCACAGCCAAGAGATATCTTCTTCTTCACTTCCTCTTTTACCGCTGTGGGTGTCGAGGGAGAAATAAGGTTCTGTTTCTAGCTCTTCTGGCCGCCTCGACCATAGGCACATCGTGCTGTTGTAGAGTTTCTCTGACGTTATCCTTCCATCTTGTTCTTGGTCCGTTTATATCTCATTGTGTTTCCTGTAGCAATAATAAATCCACTGCCGGCTTGCTAGGCCTGTCGCAACTTCACCAGAGCCCCGTTGGCCAGGATGTTTCGGGGTGACCCAGGGTGGCCTTCATGGCTACCGTAGCGGTCCCGTGGCACGAGGCCACACCATACTTCGCCCACACCTAGCAATCCCCTACTTCACATCACATCTTCAAAAAACCATAAAAGTTCTGTTTGAATCCAAGACCTTCAGGCCACCAGGAAGTTCTACCTGCTGTACCACCACACCTCTCCCTCATCATCACATAGCAGGTCCTTTAGAGAAGGTCGCTGTCATCACGTAAGAAACTTGCTCTCCTGCCTCACCCTTTTTCCTATCCAAGGAGTCACTTATATCCTGTGCCCATCTTCGTACTGATCAGCCCCTGCCCATTCATCCTGGTGCCATGCTTTCTGCTAATATTTTTTCTAATCAGCTGAGGCGCTTAATATGACCAAATATTTCAGCATCCAAGACAAGATGCTGTTTACTAGGCAATCTTCCCTGGTGTTCAAATCTTTTAGGGTGTCAGTATTTCTTTTCTTCTTTCTCCATGGTATTCTGAGAGTTTTTCTGAAACATTTCAGTTCACAAGCCCTTTTTTTCTTCCTGAATAGAGATAGTCCACGACTTACATCCGTATGTTGCTACAGGGAAGATAGTCCACGACTCACATCCATATGTTGCTACAGTGAAGATAGTCCACGACTCACATCCGTATGTTGCTACAGGGAAGATAGTCCATGACTCACATCCGTATGTTGCTACAAGGAAGATAGTCCACGACTCACATCCGTATGTTGCTACAGGGAAGATAGTCCACGACTCACATCCGTATGTTGCTACAGGGAAGATAGTCCACGACTCACATCCGTATGTTGCTACAGGGAAGATAGTCTACGACTCACATCCGTCTGTTGCTACAGGGAAGATGCATGCTGTCAGCATTTTCACTTTGATTTCCTCGCTGGTGCTCAACCATAGACTTTTAGTGTTCTTTAATCTTTGCATTGCTGTCACCGTCCTCCTATTGACTTCTGTTAAACAGTCGCCATTGCAGTTTATTATAGAGCCTACATATTCAACATTTCCAATTTCTTTATCATTTGTTATTTTTTGGGTGATAAGCAGTTCTATCTAGACATTATTTTTATTTTCTTCAAATTCACGAACACGTTTTGATCTTCGCTGTCTTTTTGGACAGACCTCCCAATCAAAAACCTGAAAATGTTATAATTTATTTAGTGCTTTATTAATATCCTACCCCAAACAGGGAAAATCCACAGGTCACGGGACAGTCTAATATTTTAGGGGGTGGTAGATTGGCTGCATGCAGTCATGGAACCTAGACTGCACTCTCTCGTGGGATGTAGGTGGGTTGGGGTTAGGGCCAGTTCTAGATGTTTTGGGGCTGTTAAAAGCATCAGAAAGCCGGGAAACCCAGTCTTACCTCCCTCTAAAATGTTGGACTGTCCTGTGACGTCATCTGGGGTAGGATATTAATAAAGAACCATTTATTCATTCAGCAACTGGTCGACCATGACACGTCAAAGCTGGCGGAATTAATGGGCCAAGCGGAGCGGTACACCCGGGCGGTACAGGCCGCTTGCCAGCGCCATCTTGATGAACACGCTCAGACTAATGAGGTTGCCGACCTTCTCAAGTTGTACCATCGGGCCAGATCTTCCAGTGGCAGTCCGATGGAGAAGAAGCGGAAAGTAGATCAGAGTTTGTGAAGGGTATAATACCCAAAGTGGATCAGTTAAGTATATATACATTTTAAGACAAATTAACACATGAAGGGTGATCTGATCTGTATCATTCTGGTTGCCTGTGTTTTCCAGACCATTTCCACACACCCAGTTTAGCCTGGGTTGACATGAGATCTAGGTCAACTTTTACAAATCCACACACTGATGGTTTGTCCACTCACTTTGATGATTTACCCATTTTGAAGGTTGTCCGTTTTCATGGTTTGTCCTCTTGGTGTGATGGTTTGTCTTAGGATGTCATGTGATGCCATCCCATACAAGGCATATACCACAAGGGAAGAGAGTCGTAAAGCTAGACAGCTTGATGATGTGTCCATAGTCAGAAGAGCTACAACTGGAACCTCTCCCCCGACATCCAAAGCGCTAGAGGAGAAAGGCAAGGTGTCTGGCGGTTCCCAGCTGGTACCCCACGGAGCTGTGTGAGTACCGAGCACCAGGGGTTGTGTACGTATGGAGCACCAGGGAATGTTTATGTACCGAGCACCAGGGACTGTATATGGACGGAGCACCAGAGGCAACTCTAGAAAAACGCATGGCCACATTTTGGGCGGTATGAAGATAGCTGAGAAAAATATTGCTGATGATCATTGTGAATTTCAAAGTTTATAAAATATAATTTCCTTGGAATTGCATCTGCCTGAGAGGCAAGGAATCAACAGATAAACCAAATCTGTCACATGCATTTCCTCGCAAAACTTATCTTCTGGAACAAAACCACAAAGCCTAGAATTGGACAAACAACCTGGATTTCCTCCTGAAATTAGAGCTGGTATACACAGAGAAAAAGAGACTGCATGGGCATTACACAGTTGTTTAGATTTTTTTTTTAACTTTACATTACCTTACTGTGTACCCCGTTTTCTTCCTCGGCTCCCTAACATTACTTCTAAAGGATCTTGCTGACACTGCGGTTGCTATGGCTGGCCCAGTACTAGACAGAAGTGATGTTATCAATACCATGCGCTGCACTTACCGTACCGAGGAGCACGCCGAAGGACATGACTCCATATCCCTGTCTAGACTTGTGGACATGGGGGTGCAGCCTGGAGCTGCAAGAAATGAACATTTCACTAAGGGGACAAGACGTTTCATTAACCAACACAGAACAGGCGTCATCAGTCGTTTTACACTTGTGAAGCTTTTGAGGAGAAGATCGGAGCAGCTATGGATCTGTCCGGAGTGCTATGATGATAATCCTTTCTAATCACTTTAAAAGGGCTCCGCATAAAATAGTAATTATAAAAAGGGCTCCGCATAAAATAGTAATTATAAAAAGGGCTTGCAGTTCCAAAACGTTGAGAACCTCTGTCATACAAGAAGAGGAGAAGAAAATTATAAACTTTTATTTACAGAATAAGTGTCATCAAAATGATTAGTGAACATTTGAACTTTGTTATGACACACCCACGCACACAAAACAGTAAGTAAGTAAAGATCCTTTTCCACGCCTTTAGGCATATAGGGCTAGACCTATATTTTACAGACTAATCGGCACAAGATGAGTGATGTCAGCATCATGCTGGCCGCCTTTACTTCCCGGTACCCACTCAAGGCTGGGTCTACCTGGGAGCCAAGGTCCCTTTTGAAAAAAGTCCGGCTCCGCTAGGGAGCGAACCCACGACCTTCCGATCCGCAGTGAATGTCTAGCTACTCCGCACACAAAACAGATCATATGGAAAATCTCTGAATAAAATTCCTAATGAACTTCTTGGCGTTCACTGGCTATAAACTCCGGCGGAAAGTTCTGGTTGTTCGTCCACTTCTGGGCTCGGAAACTGAATGTTGCTTGCGCATACGTTTCATAGATCTGACTGTTGTTCCTTGTGTCTCAGGCAGATGCACTCTGACTTCGAAGAAAGTCCCCAATAAGTCGACTCTTATGACATGCTTGTTGGGGAGACAGTGGGGCTATTCTTGTCTCCCCCACAATGGGGCCCCGGAACCCACACGGGGGGACCTAATGGACTTTATATTGACAATGGTATGGCAGGCGTGCACACCCTTTGAAAATACTTTATTATAAGCGCTGTGCCGTTCAGAAAGCAGTGGCAAACTACTGATTGTAAAACTGCTTAGAAAAACAGCACAAGAGTCAACTGGGTAGATTTGTTGCATCCTGAACAGGATTTGCAACTATATATCATTATCATCTTGTTGTGCAACAATATATATATCATTATCATCTTGTTGTTGTGCAACAATATATCATCATCATCTTGTTGTTGTGCAACAATATATCATCATCATCTTGTTGTTGTGCAACAATATATCATCATCATCTTGTTGTTGTGCAACAATATATCATTATCATCTTGTTATGCACTATATATCATTATCTTGTTGTTGTTGTTCCACTTGAGGTCACACGGGGCTCAGTTTGTTCTCCATTCTGTTCCAAGTTGTGCAATTTCCTTGATATCGTAGATGGAATCCAGTCCTGTCCCTTGGTCTAACAACATTCATCTCAGGGTTTCTGACGTCCTCAGTCCATTTGTTTCTTATCTCAGTGCCTGTTTTGCAATTCTCTGTATGTGTCTCCAGGTGTGCCCAGTATACCACCTTCTTATTTGTCATCAAAATGATAATACAAGCCATTGTTTAGACATTTAAGTAATGTATATACATACATACATGTAGCAATTATCAATACAAACATTAAAGTATGTGTATATATAATAAGTAGATTTTGTTTCTTTGATCTTTGTATTATCATTATATAAACAAATAAAAATGACTCAACATTCGTTGGACATGTGGTTCTCTTACAATCATCTACACCCTGATGTTGTCATCAGACTATTGTGGAGACTGCATAAACAAGAAGTCAGAAAAATACTTGGTTCAACATCCCAGAGACTACGCGGCAGTAAGAACCTACAGTACAACTTCTGCAAACGGGTTAAAGTAAACATTTTGAGATCATGCATCTTTCCTGTGGCTACTGATGGATGTCAGTCACGGACTCTTATTCAATCACTGAACCCACAAAAATCTAAGCTCTTAAACTAAAATTTGAAGAAGACAATTTTTAAACGCTGAATTACTGCCTTTGTTAAACCACTTTTGCTGTGTAGGCAGGTTGGTCTTTAAGCCTGGGGATTTACGGCCGCACGGCTAGTGCTGTCGCCACAAATGGGAAAGTGAGGATTTTATTTAGCCTCGTTAGAAAAAAAAATCCCCCAGTTGAACTGAAATGTTACAGACAATTTCTGATACTAATGTGGACTGAGAAGAAGGAAAACACTGACATCCTACAAGATTCGAGCATCAAGGAGAACTGGCTCATAAAGAGCATCTTGTTCGGAACGATGAGGTATTTTGCCACTGTCAAATGTCACGGTGGCCTGGAAAGAACAGTCTTCTTATTCACGGGTTGTAAACTGTGGTTGTTCATCCACTTCTGGACTCTGGTCCTGTTCCAGAAGCTGAGTGTTGAATGCACATCCGTTTCACAAGCCTGACTCATTTGCATGCATGCTGATGGTTCCTTGCCTCTCAGGCAGATTTACTCTGACTTCGAAGGAAGCTTCTAATTAGTTGTTCATGCTTTTGGACAGGCATTGGGTCTATTCTTGTTTTCCCCCGCACAATAGGGCCGCGGAACGCACACGGGGAGAAAGAACAGCGATGGGGGGGGTAAAGGCAGACCGCTACGAACGTGGGTACAAGAGAGTGAAGATGCACTGGCCATGAAAGAGAAAAAAATAATTAGAGGCGTGCCGCGACGAGAGCGACATTCTGTAAAGGACATGCCGATTGATGACGACAATTTAGTCATGACAGCAGCACTCTCCGACCTACAACGCAGCAGGAAAACTCAGACAGGGCTGGTACAGACAATACCAGCTAGGCTGCGATGTCTGCCTCGTCCGGCTAAACACATCTGGTCTCAGCAAACACTTTCCGTGTTGTATTTCGGGGCCCCAATAAGGATGCCATCAGTGCTGACTGTTTAGCAATGTTTCCTTCGAAGTACATCAGCCTGAAAGGTGTGAAATCAACTGTTTGCCGACGAATATGCCACTTTTGTATAAAATTGTGGGGGGAAAAAAGGATGTAGACGCAAAGCACAAGTTCTAAAACAAGGTTCACTAGTGGACAAACAATCACAACCTTGCGGTCGGAGTTTACAACCGCTGAACAGGAATTGGTGAAGCAGTAGGTCTCCCCCCCCCTCCCCAGCCCCCTCCAAAGGGACTTCCGGAAGCCACACAGGAAAAACATTATATATTTTAACCATCCCTCTAACATAGCGGCGTCCGTGGCTAAGGCGTTGCGAGTCCGACTCGTAAGCCAGCATACCGCGATCGAAACTCACTGCAGGCTGCGTGGATCTTTGTCATGGTATGGGACGTCGCAGGTCGACCCAGCCTAAAATGGGTACCAGGATGGGCTGTCCTGGGAAAGTAAAGTCAGCCGGCGTAATGCTGACCACATTACCCACAGAGTGCTGATGGTCTGTAAAAATATGGGACGCTCTGCCCATATGCCCGATGCACCGAAAGGCGTGAAAAAGGAACTTTACTTTTTTTTAAATCCCTCTAACATGACATCACATATGGACATCTTGCAGCAGGCTATCAAAAATACAATTGAATAAAACCATCAAAAACACTCCCCCACCCCCCCCACCCCAATAAAACATCAGCAGAAACAAATAAAATGAGGTATTTTGAGAGAACCTATTACTGTGCTATTTTCTGAATTCAGAACACACACAACTTGTGAAGATGATAAAATTTGCCGGTCACACTTCAAAATGTAAAGAGATTGTGATCAAAAATAACAAGATGTGTTAGCAATAAGGCACAAATTATGTCAAATTATCACACGGGATTGTACAAGGCACACGTTGGTTCTTTACAGATATAAAGTAGTTGTACATTAACATATTCATTTTAACACCTAGCTACCAGTGCCAAACATGTTCCAGTGACAATTCTGTGACTTCAAAAGTTTGAGTAAAACATAAGAAGTTAAGAAAATAATAAAAATTGGAATAATCAAAAACAACGACATGATGTGTTCTGAGATATCTACTTTATCAACCGAGTCCTCTTTGCTCACGTCTATTCATTTTATTTACTTGTCTGTTGTTTATGAACTCACATCACCGCCCCAGTCTATTCACCTAGTCTACTTGTCTCTGTTGCAATTCAGCACCCATCAAGCCCTAGTCTATTCACACTGTCTGCTATTATTCTATGAGCACACATCATGCCCTGCAGTCTATTCATTAAATCTACTTGTTTCTGTTGCTACACTATGATCTCCCATCAATGCCCCAATCTATTCACCCTACCACCAACGCCTGACGGATACAACCGAATCAATGAAAGACATTCTCCTTATCGAGCACCATGTTGTTTGTATGGTTAGACTTGGACTTCACGGAGTTGTGGCGGTGGTTGGACAAGATCCGGTGAGAATTCTGCACTACACACAGCGGCGATCTGGGAACGGTTGGTTGGAGGGACAGCATCTTCGGTTTCATTCGTATCCGGTTGTCAGATTTTGTCGGAATTAGGACTGCCAGCTTTGGAGTGCTCTCCTCAACGTGTTTGGCTGAAATAATAAATAAATACTGAACTAGGAGGAAGAAGAAGAAAAAAAACTGACCACTCTATTCCAGTGTTAATTTAGAGCTGGAAAGCAACGGCAGCTCAAAATAAAAATAAAAAAATCGACAATTTTGAGAACAAATGTCTCAGAAGAATACTTAATCTCCACTAGACAGATTTCAGATCCAATACGCAAATAAGACAAGAGATCAAGCAAGATAAGGTATTCAGTTTTATAAGAAAGCACCGCTGGAACTACATCAGCCATGCACTCAGAATGGACAAGACAAGACCTTCCCATCAAGCCCTCATATGGAAACTGTAAGGGAAAAGAAAGCGGGAAAGACCAAAAGAGACCACGCATAGAACCATCATCAGGGAGGGTCAACCGTGGGCCTAACAAACATCCAAGACCTAAAACAGGTGGCAACGAACCATCATACATGGAAAGCTATGACCTCTGCCCTATGCGGCACCACCTTAGGCTCAAAAGGAAAGACTAATATTTTTCTGTATCTCGTCAGGTGCATATAAATATACAAATGAATAAATATATGGTGTTGCTAGGAGTGACCAAAGAGTGGCCAACGCTCAGGGGGAAATTGAGAAGAATAAACAATCAGACAGTTATTGGTTTCATCAGAACTAGAATTCTGCACTTGCTGCTGAAGATGGGGATGGAGCACTTATGGGAATGTTCCGACTGCTGTGATCTTAATTCTAAATTTAAAAAATAAAGCGAATAAATTAATCACTGAAAAACAAAATCAATTATGTTCAAAATTAACTGCCTGATTTACCAGGGCCAACACAGGTTTACAACCATATCTTTTTGTCTGCACAAATACTGAAGTGATATATCATGGTGTATATTGCTTCAACGTGCTTCAGAAATGATACAGAAATCTGCAGACATCTCTGGCTAAGCTGTCTGCCTCTGTCTCTTGCTTTGAAATTAACTGCCCTTTTTAAAAAGGAAAACACAGGTTAATGACCATATCTTTTTGTCTGCACAAATCTTGATGGAACTGATTTATCGTGGTACATATAGCTTTGAATTGCTTGAAAAATTATACAGAAATCCGGAGGTCTCTGTGGCCAAGCTGTCTGCCTTGTAATCTGAAGGCTGTGGCCTCATTTCACAGTCTTGATTCATAAGGGCAATTATTTGAGATCCTTGGAAACAAGCTGGAGCTACAGAATCTGTACCTGCTGTGACACTTTTAGTAGTTGTCCAGCTGCTGGGTGAAGGAGGACGTGTCCTATGGAATAAAACCTAGAGCAATGACATCGATACTCTCAACTTCAGACTTTAATAAAGAAATAAATGTCTCAACAACCGCTGGTATCCAGTTAAAAACAGGATCAATGTTGAACAGCACTCTGGACACTCCCATAAGCCCTCTGTCCTGATCTTCAGCAGCAAGCAAAGAGTTCCAATTACGAAGGCACCAGTACACCAGTCTGATTAAATATCCATTTCATCTTTCCCTTGAGTGTCGAACCCTGACCAGATCCCCTGGTAACCTTGGGTATCGAACCCTGACCAGATCCCCTGGTAACCTTGGGTATTGAACCCTGACCAGATCCCCTGGTAACCTCCCCACATTGTGTGTCTAGAGTGCTATGATGTCGACTCTTAATTCAACATAACATAATTCAACATAACATGCCTTCCAAAAAAATGACTGTCTCTTTCTGATGTTTGTGTTAAACTGTCTTTGATCTTTCACCTCTTTCAAAACATCTGGGTTGCTCTATTTGGCTGTCCAAGGAATGGTAAGGATTCTTCTGCAAAACCACATTTCCCAGACCTCCAGAAATTGTTTGGTAGTTTTTTTATTGTCCAGAATTCAAAGCCATATGTTAAAACTGGCTGTATATAGCATGCAAGAAGTCTGTTTCTAACCACCAATGACATGGATTGGTTACATCAAATGTTTATTTTAAACCTAACTTACCTTTTGAGATGAATTTGTTATCCACTGTCTCTGTTGAAGCTTCAATGTCTTCACAACCATCATCTTTAACACATCCAGCATCATCGTCACATCCAGCATTGTCGTCACATCCATCACCACATTCAGTATCAATGATATCAAGTGCTACTGCATCTTCAAGATCTCCAAAAGATTTGAGGTCCTGAAATAGTTTTAAAATGTAAGACAAATGATTTAGTGATTTCAGAATCAGCATCACAGAACTTCAGACATCTCCACAGATGCTCCGTCTCCTAAAGCAAATGTTAAAAAAAAAAAACCTTTCAATAATAATTTAACAAATGTAATGATTAAAAAACACAGTTTTTTTTTAAAATTAATGATTACAAGAAAGAACTGTCGTCTCCACCATAATGGCTGGCAGAGTGTTTCAGCTACTACCTATAGAAATATTTATGTGGTGAAGCTCCAACTTCTTCCACGGTTGAACTCTTGTACGACTGCAAGCCATGAGAATGTTTTCATTCCAGACTGCGGGAATTAAACCTGGTAAACGATGAGGATTGCACTGTGAAGTGCTTTCACTACCCTCCAAACCACAAAACGGCACACTCATATTTTTTTTTTCTCTTCTAAACCAAAACTCTCTCTCATGTTGTATCGCACCAGGACATCACACAAGCGATAAACACCCGGTGACACAAAGTGCCACCATGCGGATGAGGATCACGAGTACCATGAGATTCTGGAAAGGCTACAAATAAAAAGAGTTTCATCATCATCATGTAGCAGGTGCTTTGCAGAACGTCGCTCTCATCACAGTCTGACTGAAAGAAACTCGGTCTCTTGCCAGCTCTCCCGCCTCATGAACTTTCATACTCAAGGAGTCACTTATATCTTGTGCCCATCTTCGTGTCGCTCGGCCCCTGCCCCTTCTTCCTGGTACCATGCCTTCTGTTATAATTTTTTCCAAATGTCGAGGCGCTTGATATGACCAAAATATTTCAGCTTTCGAGAAAGGATGCTGTTTATTAGCCAATCTTCCTTGATGTTCAGATCTTTTAAGATGTCGGTATTTCTCATCTTCTTTGTCCAAGATATTCTGGGAATCTTTCTATAGCATTTCAGCTCAAAAGCCCCTATTCTCTTTCTTAAGGACTGAGAGATAGTCCACGACTCACATCCGTATGTAGCTACAGGGAAGATGCATGCTCTCAGAATTCTAATTTTGATTTCCTTGCTGGTGCTTAACCATAGACTTTTAAGGCTGTTCTTTCTTTGCATTGCTATGGCCATCCTCCTTTTAATTTCTGTTGAACAGTCTCCACTGTTGTTTACTATAAAAGAGAATTACTGAAAGAAATTTTAAAAAGAGACAATCGAAATACTCTGGCCATATTAAAAGACAACACACTTTTAAAACTATTCTGAAAGGAAAGGTCAAAGGCAAGGGAGCAAGAGGTGGGCAAAGATACAAGTGGGAGGACTATATTAAGAGATGGATGAGCAGCAGTCTGAGAGAGAGTACAACCAAGAAAAGAGACAGAGCCTGTTAGAGATCCATTGCAGACAACCTTTACTGTGGAGACGGCACCAGATTGACTTGAGTTCAGCAAAAAGAAACATCTCATGTAAAGCATATTCATTCCGACTCTATGCTACCAATACTTGCACTGCCTACTATTGCAGATAGGCTCAAAGTTCTGCAAACAAAGTCATATCTCAGAGTAGCTGCAGACAAGAAACACCTCCTGCATGAAGCTCTGGGGAGAGTTAAGGGTCAGACTAACAAGAGGAAGATCTTGGAGGGCGCAAGTTGAAGACACAATTAGACGTGTGCAGGCTTGATCGATTTGGGTGAGGAGGGGAGTGGGTTAAAGTGCCCGAGCAAGAAACAGACATGTAGGGTTCTAATTACTTAGGGACGTGAGTGCAGGGAATGGCCAGAGCTGGCGCTGCAGAATCAGAAATTCAACAAATAATTCATTACAATTCCTGCCCAGGATGTCACTTAGTACAACAAAGCCTGGCATGTGATATCACAACGTCTAGTTCGAGAATGGAGGTGGAGGCAGTCACTGCTGCCTTCCGCTGGATAGAGAATCAGCTGTACACACATGCTGTGATTGTAACTGACTCACAGAGCATGTTGAGAAAGGCGGAGACTGGCATGTAGTTAGCATCCTCTGGATATTTTCTCTAGGTCATGCCGGCGTGTTGGGAAATAAGCAGGCAGATAGTCTGGCCGGTTCTGCCTCCCTTGGTGGAGAAGTTATTGTATGACAAGCTAGGTTTTGCGAGGGCCTTTTGGGAAGAGTGAACAGTGCAGAAGCGCAAATAGATCATTTACCTGCACAGAGGACTGCAGGTTACACCCAGTTGGTGTAGACATTATGGATGCCTTAATTATAACTCCTTTGGAGGTTTAACAGGGTATCTAGGATCATGTTGGTCTGCCATCTGTTAACCTCAGGACGGTAGGGAAAACCTTTAGGGAGCAGCTTAGAGTGGACAAACTGATCGATCAATGGCCAATTCTATCACCCTTAAACAGGCATTCTTTCTGCTGAATAAATGTTACCATGCAGTCAAATAGTTCTGAGGAGAATGGCGCTGCATGGAGTTACCAGGGGATCTGGCCGATGCTCAACCCTCAAGTAAGACAATTACTAATGCCATAGGAATTGGAACTCTCTGCTTGCTGCTGCAGATAGGGGACTGAGTGCTTATGGAAGTGCTCCGAGTGCTGTAATGTCGATTCTTAATTCAACCATCAAGAGTGAGTGACATTCAACCCAACTACTAGGAGTGCATAATGAGCGATTAAAATCCTGTGATACAACGTGCCACCATCTGGATGAGAATTCTCCAGGTGCAGAGGGCATGGCACATTGGCAAAAGCAGACCTAATCCGCCCACACACATGACATGGCAACATGATGATGATGAAAACACAAACACACTGAGACAGATAACCCTACCTTCTCTACGAACATCTCTGATCCCTCTTTTATAATGTCCCTTGATTCTGGATTTTCTGGGGAAGATACTGTCTCCGCTGACTCTGGACTTTCCAGTAGAGATCCAGCTTCCCCTGATTCCGGCTTCTCCAACGGTGGCATAGTTTTCCCTGACAAGAAAAGAAATATTATACAAAATATAACTCAGCACCACCTACCAGACCAGTTCAGCTAACTGCTGCAGATGTGACATACAAGGGTTTTCCTCGTCTGGGTTAAAGATGTAACATATAGGGGTTTCCTTCATGTGGGTTCCAGGTGTCACATATAGTGGTTTCCCCGTGTGGGTGTCAGATGTCACATATAGGTAGGGGTTTTAGATGTCACATATATTGGTTTTGCCGCGTGGGTTCCAGATTTGACATATAGGGGCTGCCACGAGTAGGTTTCAGATGTCACATATAGGGGTTTCCCCGTCTGGGTTTCAGATGTCACATAAAGGGGGTTTCCCCGTCTGGGTTTCAGATGTCACATAAAGGGGCTGTTCCTTGTGCAGGTCTCAGGGGCAGCTTCAAATGGAGGAAGAAATAAAAGGCTAACTGCCACTCTAACAAGCATTGTACAATCAGACAGCTACTGGTGTCACTCTAACAAGGATTGTACAATCAGACAACTACTGGTGTCACTCTAACAAGGATTGTACAATCAGACAACTACTGGTGTCACTCTAACAAGCACTGTACAATCAGACAGCTACCTACTGGTGCCACTCTAACAAGCATTGTACAATCAGACAACTACTGGTGCAATCGGAATTGCAACTCGTAAGCTGCTGAAGATGGGGACGGAGCGCTTATGGGGGTGTCCCGAATGCTTGTATGCTGTGAGGTTGATTATTAATTCAACATTCTAACAAGCATGTCATATAAGGCCACTAACTGAAAAAAAAAATTGTGTTTAAAGTTGTTTGCATATCCTTTACAGGACGTTGCAGAACCAAGCCTTGCATTTTTTGGCTGTTGGTTTTTCTTCCAGGCAAATTTACATTTAGTAGTTTGCCACATCTCTCTGAATGGTCGACTCTCGGTAAGACTGTCCGAACCAATGAAAAACGTTCTATTGTCAAATCGTCTGAAGCTGGGATTCAATGCGGCACACTGGCATTACAAAGCAGAAAAGAAGAAAAAGTAAAATAGGAAGAAGCAAAAAATAATAACAACAAAGACAACATAATCTGGCATACCTGAGACTCCTAGATTAGACTCAAAAACTGGAAGCTGACTGGCAAGTTCCAAATAGGATTTCAGCTCGTTGACGCCTGATTCTTCTGTGTGGTTTGTAGATACTACATTCCGCCGCACGACAACTGCTGGAACATTTCAACAAATCATTTATGTAAGACATACAGTCACGTCTGAACAAAGCTAGAGCTGCTTTTGGAAATGATAAGCTAATCTGGAAATCCAACAATTATTGCAGAGGAACGAAACTCCGACTCTACAAGAGCATCATTTTGCCAGTTCTTCTTTATGGAGCGGAATGCTGGAGAATGACCAAAAAGGATGCACACAAGCTGTCCACCTTCCACCACACATGTCTACGTAGAATTATCAAAATTTTCTGGCCAGATACAATTTCAAACACTAAACTACTTCAAGCCACAAACCAAGAAACTTTAGACAGTATGATTACCAAGAGAAGATGGAAATGGCTTGGCCACGTTATGAGAATGATTTCTGATATAACTGCCAAAACAGCTCTCACGTGGAAGACCAGAGGGAAAGAGAAAACAGGGGCGCCCAAAAACATCATGGAGACGAATGATGGAAAGTGACCTGAGTGCGGCATCTTTGACATGGAAAACTGCACTGAAGATTGCACAGGACAGAAAAGCATGGAAAGTCCTCTCTGAAGCCTCATGTGCCACTAGGCATAACGAGAACTGATGATGATTTATGTAATGACTGTCTAAATTGTCTGTGTTTACCACTGTGGTGTGAGTATGGGAGGGGGCGGGGTGTGAGTATGGGAAGGGGGCGGGGTGTGAGTAGGGAGGGGGGCGGGGTGTGAGTAGGGAGGGGGGGGCGGGGTGTGAGTAGGGAGGGGGGGCAGGGTGGTGGTCTTTCGGCCGTAGGATTTAAGGTTATGCGGCCAGTGCTGTGGCCTTAACCAGTGCAATTACGATTTTATTTTTGCCAACAAAAGAAAAAAATTCATGGCTTTAAAAAGGATTTGAACCTGGGTTCCCGCATAACAGCCCAACATTTTTAATCGTTCGGCCAGCCTCTTCACTATGTAATGACTTCTTCTTTTGTCGTCTCACTGATACCAGGTTGTAGCCGTGTCGTGGTTTTGTCATCTCACTGATTCCAGGTTGTAGCCCAGTGTCGTGGTTTTGTCGTCTCACTGATACCAGGTTATAGCCCAGTGTCGTGGTTTTGTCGTCTCACTGATACCATGTTGTAGCCCAGTGTCGTGGTTTTTTCGTCTCACTGATACCAGGTTGTAGCTCAGTGGCGTGGTTTTGTCATCTCACTGATACCAGGTTGTAGCCCAGTATCGTGGTTTTGTCATCTCACTGATACCAGGTTGTAGCCCAGTGTTGTGGTTTTGTCGTCTCACTGATACCAGGTTGTAGCTCAGTGTCATGGTTTGTCTTGCCCTTCTCGAGTGGCTTGGGTGATGGATTTATTAATCTTTTTGCAAGTTTCAGCTAGATTATTTATTCATCTCTTTCTTGGTTTTCCTCTTGACTATTAAAACCAAATGCATGATTAACTGTCCAAGTATCTTTGAATTTGTTCATGAATCTCATTAGGCAGATTGTATGGATATGTTATAAGGCAAATAAAACAAGAACACAGACCTAATCCATCATTATGGTGATCGTATAAGATACAGTGGAGAGACTGATTAACAGAGTTGGTGACACCAAGTGTCTGCAAGCCTGTCTGGACATTATCTCTCCATCATCTTCTTGGTCTGCCTTGTGGTCTAAGAACTTTCATCTCCCTTGTGTTTACAGTTTTTACTTCTCTGTCATCTGACATTCTTTCAATATGCCCAAGCCATTTCACTCTACTTGATCTCATGATAGAAGAGAGGCAACGGAGAACATCGCAATAACCGAAACGATCACAGGGTGATAGAAGAAGACACAAGGGAGACAATGCTTGAGGGCTTAAGCAGCCGCATTTTGGAAGTGATCCAAAATACCAAGGATCCAGATCAGTAGCGAGAGATGAGTGCCTAAGCCACAAGGCAGGACACATGATGATACTGATGTGATAGTGAACCATGAGGGCTGACATCTACTGGCATAAAACATGACAGTGAGAATACTTCTAACTTGACGACAGCAGCTGTCACAGGGGCATCTGCATGGCTCGCAGAGGAGAAAGCAACTCACACTGACAGTGACAAACTCAAAGAGCATGCTTAAGAAGATCCAACCTGGCAAACTGCGACCAGACCTGGTTGACAGCATCCAAAAGTTCTGCACCAAGAGACTAACTTGAAATGGCACACCAGGATATGCCAGAGTCAAAGGAAATAAAAGAGCAGATAGACTGGTCAGAAAAAAGATATGCCAATTAACTTGTGGGTATGTTCAACATGGAGACATTGAGATGGCTGCTGCACCAGAGGATCAAACAAAAACCGGTCAGACTAACGTTCTAAGATATCGAAAAAGATAACAAGTAACATGATGGTTAAAGGATAACAAGTAACATGATGGTTAAAGGATAACAAGTAACACGATGGTTAAAGGATAACAAGTAACACGATGGTTAAAGGATAACAAGTAACATGATGGTTAAAGGATAACAAGTAACGCGATGGTTAAAGGATAACAAGTAACATGATGGTTAAAGGATAACAAGTAACACGATGGTTAAAGGATAACAAGTAACATGATGGTTAAAGGATAAAAAGTAACACGATGGTTAAAGGATAACAAGTAACATGATGGTTAAAGGATAACAAGTAACATGATGGTTAAAGGATAACAAGTAACGTGATGGTTAAAGGATAACAAGTAACATGATGGTTAAAGGATAACAAGTAACATGATGGTTAAAGGATAACAAGTAACATGATGGTTAAAGGATAACAAGTAACATGATTGTTAAAGGATAACAAGTAACACTATGGTTAAAGGATAACAAGTAACATGATGGTTAAAGGATAACAAGTAACATGATGGTTAGTGAGTGTTTACATATATTTTCATCTACGCAGCTATTTATCACGAGAACAAAAAAGAAACCACAGTGATTCTATTTTTGGACAAAGAGGAAGATGGTCAGAAAAATAGAAAAGAACAAAGAAAAGATAAAATTGGGGAAGTGTGGTTCATATCTATCCCCTTTATCTACAGGCATTACAGCTAGAGCAGTGTGTCTCAACCTTCCAAATGCAACGACCCTTTAATACAGTTCCTCATGTTGTGGCGACCCTTTATTACAGTCACTCATGTTGTGACGACCCTTTATTACAGTCACTCATGTTGTGACGACCCTTTAATACAGTCACTCATGTTGTGACGACCCTTTAATACAGTTACTCATGTTGTGACGACCCTTTAATACAGTCACTCATGTTGTGACGACCATTTAATACAGTCACTCATGTTGTGACAACAATTTAATACAGTCACTCATGTTGTGACGACCATTTAATACAGTTCCTCATGTTGTGACGACCCTTTATTACAGTTCCTCATGTTGTGACGACCCTTTATTACAGTCACTCATGTTGTGACGACCCTTTAATACAGTCACTTATGTTGTGACGACCCTTTATTAGGCACTCATGTTGTGATGACCCTTTAATACAGTCACTCATGTTGTGATGACCCTTTAATACAGTCACTCATGTTGTGACGACCCTTTATTAGTCACTCATGTTGTGATGACCCTTTAATACAGTCACTCATGTTGTGACGACCCTTTAATACAGTCACTCATGTTGTGACGACCATTTAATACAGTCACTCATGTTGTGACGACCATTTAATACAGTCACTCATGTTGTGACGACCATTTAATACAGTCACTCATGTTGTGACGACCATTTAATACAGTTCCTCATGTTGTGACGACCCTTTATTACAGTGTTACAGTTCCTCATGTTGTGACGACCCTTTATTACAGTCACTCATGTTGTGACGACCCTTTATTAGGTACTCATGTTGTGATGACCCTTTAATACAGTCACTCATGTTGTGATGACCCTTTAATACAGTCACTCATGTTGTGACGACCCTTTATTAGTCACTCATGTTGTGATGACCCTTTAATACAGTCACTCATGTTGTGACGACCATTTAATACAGTCACTCATGTTGTGACGACCCTTTAATACAGTCACTCATGTTGTGACGACCCTTTAATACAGTCACTCATGTTGTGACGACCCTTTAATACAGTCACTCATGTTGTGACGACCCTTTAATACAGTCACTCATGTTGTGACAACCCTTTAATACAGTCACTCATGTTGTGACGACCATTTAATACAGTCACTCATGTTGTTACGACCATTTAATACAGTTCCTCATGTTGTGGCGACCCTTTAATACAGTTCCTCATGTTGTGGCGACTTTTTATTACGGTCACTCATGTTGTGGCGACCATTTAACACTGTTTCTCGTGTTGTGGCGACCCTTTAATACAGTTCCTCGTGTTGTGGCGACCCTTTAATACAGTTCGTGTTGTGGCGACCCTTTAATAGGTTCCTCGTGTTGTGGCGACCCTTTAATACAGTTCCTCGTGTTGTGGCGACCCTTTAATACAGTAACCCGTGTTGTGGCGACTCTTTAACACAGTTCCTCATGTTGTGACAACCCTTTAATACAGTCACTCATGTTGTGACGACCATTTAATACAGTCACTCATGTTGTTACGACCATTTAATACAGTTCCTCATGTTGTGGCGACCCTTTAATACAGTTCCTCATGTTGTGGCGACTTTTTATTACGGTCACTCATGTTGTGGCGACCATTTAACACTGTTTCTCGTGTTGTGGCGACCCTTTAATACAGTTCCTCGTGTTGTGGCGACCCTTTAATACAGTTCGTGTTGTGGCGACCCTTTAATAGGTTCCTCGTGTTGTGGCGACCCTTTAATACAGTTCCTCGTGTTGTGGCGACCCTTTAATACAGTAACCCGTGTTGTGGCGACTCTTTAACACAGTTCCTTGTGTTGTGGCGACCCTTTAATACAGTAACCTGTGTTGTGACGACCCTTTAATACAGTCACTCATGTTGTGACAACCCTTTAATACAGTCACTCATGTTGTGACGACCATTTAATACAGTCACTCATGTTGTTACGACCATTTAATACAGTTCCTCATGTTGTGGCGACCCTTTAATACAGTTCCTCATGTTGTGGCGACTTTTTATTACGGTCACTCATGTTGTGGCGACCATTTAACACTGTTTCTCGTGTTGTGGCGACCCTTTAATACAGTTCCTCGTGTTGTGGCGACCCTTTAATACAGTTCCTCGTGTTGTGGCGACCCTTTAATACAGTTCGTGTTGTAAAGACCCTTTAATAGGTTCCTCGTGTTGTGGCGACCCTTTAATACAGTTCCTCGTGTTGTGGCGACCCTTTAATACAGTAACCCGTGTTGTGGCGACCATTTAATACAGTTCCTCATGTTGTGGCGACCCTTTAATACAGTTCCTCATGTTGTGGCGACCCTTTAACACAGTTCCTCATGTTGTGGCGACCCTTTAATACAGTAACCCGTGTTGTGGCGACTCTTTAACACAGTTCCTCATGTTGTGGCGACCCTTTAATACAGTAACCCGTGTTGTGGCGACTCTTTAACACAGTTCCTCATGTTGTGGTGACCCTTTAATACAGTTCCTCATGTTGTGGTGACCCTTGAATACAGTTCCTCATGTTGTGGTGACCCTTTAATACAGTTCCTCATGTTGTGGTGACCCTTTAATACAGTTCCTCATGTTGTGGTGACCCTTTAATACAGTTCCTCATGTTGTGGTGACCCTTTAACACAGTTCCTCGTGTTGTGGCGACCCTTTAATACAGTTCCTCATGTTGTGGTGACCCTTTAATACAGTTCCTCATGTTGTGGTGACCCTTGAATACAGTTCCTCATGTTGTGGTGACCCTTTAATACAGTTCCTCATGTTGTGGTGACCCTTTAATACAGTTCCTCATGTTGTGGTGACCCTTTAATACAGTTCCCTCATGTTGTGGTGACCCTTTAATACAGTTCCCTCATGTTGTGGTGACCCTTTAATACAGTTCCCTCATGTTGTGGTGACCCTTTAATACAGTTCCCTCATGTTGTGGTGACCCTTTAATACAGTTCCCTCATGTTGTGGTGACCCTTTAATACAGTTCCTCATGTTGTGGTGACCCTTCAATACAGTTCCTCATGTTGTGGTGACCCTTTAATACAGTTCCTCATGTTGTGGTGACCCTTTAATACAGTTCCTCATGTTGTGGTGACCCTTTAATACAGTTCCTCATGTTGTGGCGACCCTTTAATACAGTTCCTCATGTTGTGGCGACCCTTTAATACAGTTCCTCATGTTGTGGTGACCCTTTAATACAGTTCCTCATGTTGTGGTGACCCTTCAATACAGTTCCTCATGTTGTGGAGACCCTTCAATACAGTTCCTCATGTTGTGGTGACCCTTTAATACAGTTCCCTCATGTTGTGGTGACCCTTTAATACAGTTCCTCATGTTGTGGTGACCCTTGAATACAGTTCCTCATGTTGTGGTGACCCTTTAATACAGTTCCTCATGTTGTGGTGACCCTTTAATACAGTTCCTCATGTTGTGGTGACCCTTTAATACAGTTCCTCATGTTGTGGTGACCCTTTAATACAGTTCCTCATGTTGTGGTGACCCTTTAATACAGTTCCTCATGTTGTGGTGACCCTTTAATACAGTTCCTCATGTTGTGGTGACCCTTTAATACAGTTCCTCATGTTGTGGTGACCCTTTAATACAGTTCCTCATGTTGTGGTGACCCTTGAATACAGTTCCTCATGTTGTGGCGACCCTTGAATACAGTTCCTCATGTTGTGGTGACCATTTATTACAGTCACTCATGTTGTGGCGACCCCCAACCATACCATTATTTTCATTGCTGCTTTATAACTTTTGTGAATGTGTTTTGCGATCGTCTTTGGCGACCACTATGAAAGGGTCGTTCGACCCACAAAAGGGTCTCAACCCACAGGTTTAGAACCGTTGCCTTAGAGCATCTGTCCAGTGCAGCCACATGCAGACTGGTCGACCCTCAAGGAAAGACAAGGGCAGAACAAGGACATTCCCCACCATTAGTGGAAGGAGGAAAGAACAGTGAACAAAAAAAAAACCAGAAACATTTAAAAGAAAAAACCCAGAAATAACAAAGAAAAAAACCCAGAAATAAAATTAGAAATAACAGCGAGGGAAAAATTAGCAATAAAAGTTTAAAAAAAAAAACAGTAAGAAAAACAGAAATAACAGAGGAAGAAAAACAGCAGAAATAACAAAGGAAGGAAAAAAAAATAATAGGAATTTAAAAAAAAAGTGAGGCAGAAATAACAGGGAATATAACAGAAATCACAGAAAAGGAAAACATAAATAACCGAGACAGACAAAAAAGAAATAGTCAAGGAAGAAAACAAAAAACAAAACAGATAAGCAAGTACCTGATGAGGACTGACATGGATTAATTGGTGTTCTAGCGAATTCATTCGTGGGGGACCTTGGATCCTTAATGGCTGGACCCTCCTGTAGAGCACTTGTAGCACTGCACGATGGCTTCATTCTCTTGGCCTGGATCACTGGGGTCTTCTCCACAATTATAGGGGTCCTGCTAATAAAATCTGACGGGGATCTGGGATCCCAAGCCAGCAAGCGCACATCATGCAACCGTGGGTTGTCCAATCGCTGTGAAGGTGTCAACCCTAAGCTATCTCTGATTGTTGTGACCTCGTCTTCGGTAGAGATTTCTTGTGAGAAAATCCCGCCCATATTTCTGCAAAATAAATACATAAAATCTAGGTAAATATTGTGTAGCTTAGTGGTTTCGAGGTTAGTGAAATTATTTCTCAATCATCAACATACCAGAGCTTGATTTCCACAGTTGCCAGTTAACTTTTTCTGTCCCAAAAAGTGTGTGATTAGTTCTTCTGTGAATCCTATCTTACACTGAAAGCACTTTTGTACTGTATACATTTGATCACAGGGAACATATCATAAACCTGCCTGTATCTCACCCGCGTGCAAGATTTCCTGTCAGCTCCTATTCATGCCATTCTCACTGGCTTTTCTATGTTCTAGGGGTGTTTCGCCATCTATACACACCATGTTGAAAATCGTTTCAGGCCCAACACGAGGAAGTGCGCAGCTCTCTTTCTTGGCAGGTGAAATTAAGCGACAGGGTGGGTTTTAGTTTGATCTGTTTGTGGGCGTAGGCAAGAAATTGATCTCACAATTCAAGTCACCAAGTAAGGCCGCAGTGATAGTGATGAAGAGCCAAAGCTGTAACACACACATTGCCGCTGGCAAGAATGTGGAAAATAGAACATGCTGCTGGCTGCGCGCAACGTGGAATATAGGATGCTTAAAGCTTTAAAAATAACACAACCTGATGCTTCTAGAACATAGAACAGCCTGCAGGGAAGGCCACCGAATGAATGGGAGCCAAGAGGAACACAATCTTGCATGCCGGCGAGATGCAGGCAGGTTCGTGAGATGTACCGATCAGAGTATACTAAAGAAATCTGTGTTCCTCAGTATGCAGCTTCTTTAAACTTCACAAGATAATCCAGGCTGGCCTCATCAGACAAGAATGAATGCTCTAATTAAATGCATCATTAAAAACTCGCCTAATTTTTATTTTTATACTGGGTCTATGCAGGTGTTCAAGGCAATAAGCGTGCAGATTATCTGTCAGACAAGGCGGTTATCATGAGCGATGTCATTAACGCCAGCATCACGGCAACAAGCAGGACTCACTGTCCAGGTTGGTAGACATAGGGGGTGCAACTTGTATTAGCCAGAGATGAACATTTCACCCAGGAATGATGGAATCTGGGCTGGGATTTTTTCATGTGGACTTGGACTTCTAGTAGTAATTCCCCTTGGTCTCTGGGTAGTGAGATCGGGCGCCCATGTGCATTGTCAGTTGGAAATCGAAAAGAGTAGCCTAACGGCGCTTTCCGGGCAAAATTTTGAGTAAAACATATACCCAAAATATTTCAGGATCCTCGCCGGTACTGAGATTCTTCAGACTCAGGTTTGAGTTAGAAGAAGAACAGAGCACTTGTACCTACCCGTGTGCCATGATGGTGATTTGTTGTTCAACCCCAAATCAGGACACAAGACGTCTGATTAATCAACACAGAATTTCCATGATCAGTTATTTTTCCCTTGTGGAGTTACTGAGGAGGAGATTGCAGAACTAACCCTAACCAGAACTAACCCTAACACCCAAATAAATGACGGGTTTTGGATGCAACTATCGAAGCCTAGGTTAGGGTATATTTTTAACTTCGATAATTTGGGAACGTTGTTCGGAGTGCCGACACTGACGTGCTTGGATCCAGAAATTCTGGTGATCGTGTGACTGAGACCGTGACAGTCTACGCTTAATGGCACAGTGTGTCTAAACAGGCAGAAGAGCGTGGACTTCTTCTTACCCCCCCCCCCCCAGTGGAGCATAGGCACCCAACCAACTCACGCCAAATTGTTTTAACACTAACACTAATAATATTTAATAACAATAACCTATCATATCAGCTCTCCTTGTGTCTTCCCCATGATTTCATTCAACTTCCCTCTCTAGCTCACTTCTCTCTTTGTGTTTTGGTCTGCCTTTATTTCTATGCCCCTGTAGGTTCCAGTGCCAAGACGTTCAAGTTACACTGTTTTCTAAGTAAACGTGTGTGTGTCCACTGTCATATCTGATATCCAACGTTTAACTTACAATCAACATCAGCAGTTCAGCCTCTTTTCTTACAGTTTGGTTCACTGGAACATGTGGAACTAAGAGCACGCACTAAGCAGATGAAATACCTGAGTAACTAATGAAAGAAGAAGGAAAATCCTGATACATTTCTCATGATTGATGATCATCAAGATTATTATTATATTATAGGGATGGACATCATCATCGGATGCGATGAGAAAGAGAAGGAAGGACCCGGCTTTACTGTTTCACTTTTTCAACTTTGTGTGTGTCTGTTACCTGTTACTTGAATAAAACGGCGCTGGCGTCTAGAATTTTCCTCAAAGTTAACATATATCCACACGTATTACTAACCAAAGAAACAAACAACAATGACAATAAGTTAATAACTTACAAACTGGAGAAATATTTCACAAAATTGACAAAGAACTTTCCCCGACCGTCTTGTCGAGCTGCGAGCAAAAGATGCACTTTTGTTTTGAAAATGTTGCCAGCCAATGAAATGATTCGATACATCAGGGCGATTTGAAGCAGCATCTCTATTGGTTAGATTGGTAAAAGTAAAAGTTGAATCTTGATTAACAGGAATAAATATGCATTTAAATTTCAATGAATTATATGCCGTATCCATATTGAAGGTTGCCTATGGATCTTCCATCTGCCTTTCAGCCTTGCTGTACAGTCTCTAAGACCATCATCTATAAGTCCTTTATGTTGTGCCTCTGCTCTCGCTGCCACTTTGGCATAGTTGTCTAGATCTTACTAACCAGGTTTTTTTTTGTAATTTTTTTTTTGGGGGGGGGGGGGGGGGGTTGGGGGGGGGGGGGGGGGGGGGGGGGGGGGGGGGGGGGGGGGGGGGGGGGGGGGGGGGGGGGGGGGGGGGGGGGGGGGGGGGGGGGGGGACCTTATTGGACATCTTTGTGTTTCAATGTGGTTATTTCTTCATTTGGGTTGTCTTTTGGAAAACCTGGAACTGAAAGGGTTAAACAATTTGCCTGACGTTCTTAAGGTCTCGGGTTTCCATTTTACAGAATGCAACAATCAGTTGACGGTGCATATTTTAGTAAGGAAAGCTTTGGGGATCGTCGCAGGATCTATGGAGTTCGTGCTTCGAAAGTGGCTTTCAACAGGTAGCTAGTCGTTCTGCAGAGAGAGAGAGAGAGAGAGAGAGAGAGAGAGAGAGAGAGAGAGAGAGAGAGAGAGAGAGACTAAGCTATATGGTATTACAACTGAGGCGATTAAGAGTATCCACTCAACTTAAACTGTTAACTTTATCTGAGCGAAGCTTCATCATGTTATCATAATGATGTTGATAACGAGGCTGGCACTTCTCTGTCTATCCAGGCGATATTGATGTACAGGGCCAATCAATAAAATTGATACACTTTCAGTCTCACTTGACTTCTCCTGTGGGGGCCATGTTTCTGCCCAACCTACAGAACCGTATCACAGCTGCAATAAACTCAGTTATACAAGAGATGCTACTTCATGTGTGGGGTGAGTTCGGCTACCGCTTAGATATTTGCCGAGCAGAAGACGGCGGCCATATTAAATATCCATAACCTCTATTGTAAGTTTGTAGACTTTAGATCTTCATTTCTCTCTATGTCTCTCTTCCATCTCTATCTCTCACGCTGGTATATTATTAATATGCAAAGTATATTCAAGGAGATATACACGAATGAAAGTGTATCTATCATTTTGAATAACCATGTACTGTGTTTTGGGAATAATAAGACCTGCTCTCAATTTATCTTCAATCAACAGGTCCTTTCAACCTTTACAGTACGTTGCTTTCGTCACGGTATGCCTAAAAGTATATATATATATATATAATATATATATATATATATATATATATATATTAATATATATATATAGATATATATATACATATATATAGCTTATTCTCCAGCCCTATGTGCTTTCACAGCCAATGTCTCGTACCCATCTTCGCAGAAGTTTACCTCTGCCTCGTTTTCCGGAAATGGTACCCCTTCCCCCATAACGGTTCTCTCCAGGCCATTATGACGCTAAACACGACCAGAATACCCCAGCTTTCAGGACAGGGTGCTGTTTATAAGCCAATTCTCCGTCATGATCAGATCATGTAGGATGCTTTCCACATTTACAAGACTAATAACCTGAACCTTCAGCAATCGTTAAGGTTGTCAAAATACGGGAGTACCCTGCTCTGTGATGCCATCCCTTTCACAATTAAAGCAAGGTATTTCCTCACAGTTGATGCATTCGAGTGTATTTAACCTGCTTTTTTCTAAGTCGCTCAGCTCTCCAATCATTTCTCATTTGCCCACATTCTCTTTCTGATTTTTCCAGAATATGTTTTCTATAATATCTATATTGACGACAGTGTAATACTGATAATAACGTTTTTGGATAGTGTGGCCGATGCAGCTATGGAGACCAAGTATTCCACTAAGATAAGTGGATACCTCTGCGCTGAGGACAGTCTAAAATTATCTAGATGTGGAAAACAGTGGTAGGGAACAACCAAATTAATATCCCAAGAAATTTATAATGGAAGACAAAAACGAAAAGTCTATAGCTAGATCATCATCATCGTCAAGTGCCTTGCCAGCTAGCCTAGACGTTTATGCATCTCTACAGATATCGTTCTGTGCTGGAGGCAAACCCCGCTGTAGGCTGGGATCCCCCCTTTTCTCTCAGTAGTAAGATCGGAAGCCCGTGTGTATTGTTGCGCACATAAAAAAAATCCATTGGCAGTTGGAAATAAAAAAGAGTAGCCTAACAGCACTGCCCGGTCAGAATTTGGAGTTAACAATCTACCCAAAGTATTTCAGGATCCTCACCGGTGCAACAAAGTTCATGCACTGTGCTGATAACCTTCAGACTCAGGCTTGAGTTAGAAGAAGAACGGAGCACTTATGGGTTACAAATGTGTGCCAATTGTAAATGACTCAGAAAGCATGCTGAGGAAGATCAGAACAGGCATGCTTCGTGCAGAGTGGCATGCTTCGCTGCTGAAAACACGGGTGAGGAATTATTGTCTGGAATTTTCACCGGAAGACGCCGGTGTGTT